GAAACTTCGGTACGTATGACGAGTACCGACCAGTCGAGTTTACTTCACGCGAGGACAATAAAGCGACAAAACAACGTACACAGATCCGCAGTTTTAACTAATTTCGGCAACTCAAAAAGTACTTTTTAGTATTTAATTGTTGTCGTTATTGAGGGTGGGTGTACCGCTATGTATAGTGTATCATTGTATGGATGACAAGCTAAACCAACCAAAGCCGCGGTGTTTCGACGCTTTAGGGGATTTGTTGTTAAATCAAGGGACGTTACATGGAGTTTATACGGTAATTGTCCTTGTTGTTTTGTAAAGCAGTGTCGTCAGTGGTTGTTATCGATCCTAAGGCAGTCCAACCACTGCACCGGTCCTACAACTGGCGTAACCTAGACATATCGACATATCGTAAAATATAAATTCAGCACAAAATCTATTGAGGTGAGTGGATCATTAAAACTGCTTTATACGTGTGTTGTATTAAACTCCTAAACGGCCGGACAAATTTTGATTAAATTTATGTGTTCAGTAGATTTACAATTATGGGTTTAACGGTCCAAACTTTTGTATTTAGGACGTCAACGGCTTTCGGATCCACTAGGCTTAATTATTCGTTAATATTAATATACCTGCAATAATTCACATCAAACTTAACAGATGGAAAATAAATTGCATCTAGGTCAGATAGCCTACACGCTGATGGAAAGTAGGTCGCAACACAGCTCATAAATCTACTATTACAGAATACAGCGTTTTTATATAAAATCACGAGCAAAACACTCCACGTTGATGAGGCAGAAAGCAATTTAAAAATGTGCAATTAGAAATTCAACTAACGTTATATCATAGTTAACTCGTCAGCTTTTTTAAATTACCCTCAAAGACCTTTAACAATTATTTTCTTGCAACTTCCGCCCTTACGAACCTTCGGTATTTACGGAATCCTTTACCGTTCCTGTCAACAGCATTACGTATTCACTATATGTTAATATAAACATATATTCACGAATACGAATTTAATATTTTACGATTTGATAAGTGTATTTACAGAATCCTTTAGATTTACCGCTCCTGTCAACATATTTTTACGCATTCCCTGTATGTCAATGTAAAGATATATTCATGAATGCGAATATAATCTACGGCTAATGTTCAATAACACCAGTCGATTTGAATTTATCGATGTTTTTTACGCATTGGTTATATATTTTCAAAGAACCCCGCGTAAACTGATTTTCGACATATAAATGAATGTAAATTCTGATATTATGTACCTTGGCAGTAATATAAGTCTTATTAAAAAGCGTTAAAATAATTCCATAAATTAAAAAATTAATAAACATTACTATCACAGAACTAAATACAATTCAATTTAAAGCTCCTATAATCGGCGTTTAAATTTTTAAAATAGTGCCCCTAAAGAGAACTACCGCACAGGTCCTTGTGTATTTCATATTACGGGATAAATCTTCGACGCCGGTCGAAATACTGTCAATTGTTTGAAAACCATGTTTTCTTTATATACATTCTCAATAGTTTTTGCAGGTGGAAACTTCACAGGAAGGATTCTATATCTAATTCATTACCCAAATCGATAATTGAGCCTAATATTAAAAAAATAAAAAGCCCGATTGAAATAGAATGATCGCTCGGCCTACTTCCTAAAATACGTAAAACGTTTACGCAATAGCTCTATGGGAGCGATAGTCAATCTGCAAAATATCCAGTCTATAGCTTCTTCAAATGTCTAATTTCAAAGCGGCGCATTTTCAACGCGCACTTGTTACCTAACAGTTGCCACATGCCCCTATCTGCAGGTCTAATTCATATAATCTTGATCTAACGTCTCTACTAAAACATAGCTGCTACAAACATACATACAGCTGGTTCACGCCACGCGTTTAATATTAAAATAATTCAGATAGTACACACGCTTTTTGTTTTACTTCACATTGCTCCTTCTATCATAGTCACCGCGAAATGAGAATGCGACGTTGCCACACCGCGCGGCCGAGTGTACGAGCAGGTAGTAAGACTACCATGAAGTATGGTCTCAACAATGCACGTAATTATTATACAACCAACACTTGTCTGTTTATATGAATAAAAGCATTCATTATCCTTTCAGCCTCATGTCCCAAAACTTGATTCTAATTCATTGCAAATATGTAGAGTTAATTTTAGAATATCCTTACATAAACATCAAACAATACTTTAACGGTAAAATTTATAATCAATTATTCAGCTCCTTTTTATTCACCTGATTGTCGGAAGATGTTTAAAATTTACTACATTTGTGATACATGTGACACATTCATTATAACGGAACTAAAACAGTTTATAAGAATCGTCTGTGCAATCTAAAATACATACCATTTGTAGGATCGACATAAGCGATTTTTAGCTCCATTTCTATGTTATTCTCCGATGACTTGACTTCTGTTAAATTAATATTATATTCCACTGGATTTTCTATTTCGATATCGGTCTTCATCTGGCTCGTTGAAGCAACCAAACCCTGCGCAACACTCATTTTGGGAGAATGTTCATGCATCATTTACAAATAGTCGAGCGAAACAACTAAAAGCTGCTCGCAGTATGCATAAAATACCATTTAGGCATAAAATATAAAAGTTTTATCTTAAAAATTTTACACAAAAACCAATAATTCCATATAAAACACAAATGTAGGTCTCTAGGCCACTTCACTTACACTTAGATATTCCGACATAACTCGGACTCAATAGAAATACTCTACTCATGACTGACATTGAAATAAGTCGGTAAAGGGCAGTGGGAATTTAACCTAATTTTACAAAAGTATGTCATGGCCTATTTCAAAAAAAAAACATTATTAGAGTAACTATTGAAAACATTATTCCAAAATACTATTTAATTACTGTAATATAAAACAAAATCGTAAATTTTAATTAAAGTGCTCCTTCTTGCAGAGTTTCGATGTTACTATTTCGCAATAAATTTTCTGTTAAAATTCATGAAAATAGTGCAAAATGACTACATTTGCTTATGAATACGCTGCGTTGTGTAATAAATGACCGTTTCTATTGCACAATCTTTTCACAAGGGCTTTGAATGTAGGTCAATCTGTATGAGCATGATTGCAAAGCATTACAGTTCCAATTTAAATTATTCTGTTTTAATTTCAGAAAATACGGTCGTTATGGTTTTTTATTATTATAAAAAATGTGCGAAAGTTACTTATAATAGAGAAATATTGAAAAAAAACATTATAATAAAAGTGTGAGAATAATTTTAACATCCGGTGTATATCCACGCCATCTACTGGTGAACATAATAACCAATTATAGATGTCGCTATTTTGAAAATTTCGTTATTTCACCAACCGAAAGGTGTCACTATTTCTGACTTCTATGTAACAACATTTTAGGGTATATAAATAATTATGTATATCCAAAAATAATTTAGGTTTTAATAGCTATACATAAATGCCCTTAGCCTACTCGATTTGCTTATAGTCACTATTATAAACAAAGTGTATTACCGAATATTTGTGATTTTTTTCAGTACTTAGATCATTACTTTTGATACCACCGATTAAATAGATAAACGCCTACTATTCTAGGAATTATTTTTATATCTTTAAAAATATGGGAAATGCAGGCAATCTTTTTTCATTTTGTATGTACGCGGTAGCCTTCGAAACTACTCAAGCATGCTGGTTTTTATTTAAAAAATCACTCGGATAGGAGTTCAATCTTAGTCGCTCGTTTAATTAATAAAGGCTTCGATACTACGGTACTTATTTTAATCTTATCTCAACTCGCCATCCCGTAGTGACCGCTGTCAAATCTTAAACTTCATACAGAAAAAGTAATTTGACAACTCTTGAAAATAGATTTAATTCCGTCGTTGTATAACACGGACCTAAGTTGTGTAAATTAATGTGCAAAATACATTTAATTAATTATATATCAAGCGTAAAAATCATACTTCAGTTAAAACAGTGAAACTAATTTATTATTTTACAAATTTATACCAGGATAATAGTGTAATTGAAAAACCTTTGTAAGGGGGTTTGAGTTTATTCATGATTATTTAAATACATACAAGTAAAATATAACATTTCCATGGACTCCGAAAAGCTATATAAAAATACGTGATGACTTTAACTTACAAACTACCAAAAAATTAAACAATTTATACCATCAAAAAATATTTATAAAAAAAAAGGAAGTATATAAGCAAGTTCATAGCAATACGAAAAATTACACTTACGCTATACGTATAACAAAAACCACATGAACTAATAAATCCCTTCTATAACACGGTTCCGCGTTATAGGAAACGTGTTGTAGGAGTTTTCTAGCATAACGCGCTTGTATGACCCCATATAACGCGTTGAGTACACCTGAATCGTTCACTTTTCCTTGTTAAGGGTATTTAAATTGAATATTAATATAGTACAAATCATTATAAATTTAACAATACAGAAAAATCCCCGCGTTATATGAGAGACATCGGTGTTATACGAGGGACTTAAATCGCGTAATATAATATGCGATTGATAGTGATTAATAAGTGCTAAGTACCTTGATCAGCTGTTTTATATATATATATATATATATATATATATATATATATATATATATATATATATATATAATATGACAGACTTTAAACAGTATCACAAGGTTTTTGTTATTTTGAAGTTTCACGTCAGTTTTGCAACTACATACATACATTACATGTCAACTTACACAGAAAAATCTATAATTTATTGAGCCCTTTACGCCATTGTGCTGTATATTACATTAAATTATATATATTATATTTCATATTTAAACATAGACAAATATTTGCAATTGTAGAACAATGAAAACGAAACAATATAATCTGTGATTAACCAAGGGTTGGACGAGTTTGGAGTTTTTGTGACCATTAATGTCAAAAGCATCTAAATTTTATATTGTTTCGCTTAAATACTTATTGTAAATTAATTAACCAATTATACCTTTAGAAAAATTCTGTTTTTAAGCATTAGACTGCTTAGCAGCTGTCAGTATCTCCCTTGAGATAATAAGTCTTTGAATTTGTGATGTACCTTCGTATATTTGGTAAATTTTTGCGTCACGCATTAATTTTTCAACGGGATATTCTGTATTGAATCCATTTCCGCCGAATATCTGAACCGCATCTGAGGCAGCTTTGTTAGCGATTTCTGAAGCGTGGCACTTCGCGATTGAAGCCATCAATGTGTTTCTTTGTCCTATAAAATATGTTATGTTTAAGTATGTTTTTTTAGAAATTAGAAATACTCGACTTTTATTGTTCTTTGGTTACCATGGTAACCATTATCGTAATAACATTATTCCACATTTTAAAATAAGCTACTTAAGTTTATGTGAGTGTATAGTGTGGCACATTTCTTCAATACATTTGGCGTGTGTTGACCCTAAACATTTTGTTTTTCATGGACTAAGAGCTAACTATGAATACGTTTTTAATACACAGAAGGTTCATTTAAAAACGTTGTCTTCGACATACATCATTACTAGAGAAAAAATAGTTAAATTATAATACAGTGTATACTGTATACTCTATAATTTCTGACAATAGACAATTAAGAAACAATAAAAACCAGTCAAAATAATAGAGTAATTTCATTTTAGGAACGAAAATTGAATTATAATAAAATTTATATTTATAAATATTGTTTATTATTTAATTATTTAGCTTAAGACACTGCCTACGTATGGTTTTTCCTGCTTTTAATACGTATAGTGTTTTCCAAATGTACAGATAGAAACGTCGATTTTTTTATAGAATAATATTCCCCCTGGTAAACGAGCAGGAAGGTCACCTGATGTTGTCTCATACGATCGCCTACACACATGCAAGGCTTGAAGGGCTTTTCTTTTCTTGAAGGAAGTCGAATTGTCATAGATTAATATGGTTACACATAGTGTAATGGTATGTCATCGAGGTGATACGGATGGAATTTCGTACTCCGCCGACCACTAATGTAACTCAGTAAGCAACTCGTTGGGTTATATCATAAAGTAATTACCGTGGTCAACCATCCAGGCGGCCCTTTGCCAGGCAAGTCTGGCACTCTCAACACCAATCGCCATATCAGCGATCATAAAGGCCACTGCCTGGTGAGCAGCGATTGGTACACCGAATGTTTTGCGTTCTAACGAATATTTCGTCGCTTCGTATAAAGCTCGTGCCGCGAGACCGGTAGCGCCAGCCGCGACCTACAAAATTAAAAGTTATAACCCTTCAACCTTAAGGCCTTAGTGTCTGTTTCGTGGTTTTAGGAAAGGGGAGAATAGACGGTCCACAGCTTAGAAAACTTTTTAGAAAGAAACTATAAAAACTAAACTTCACATATATCTAACTCGAATTCACTTATTTTGAAAAGCCACTTTTCCATTAACCATTAACATCTGCCCCCGCGAACTTCGTTTCGCCTTAATATGATTATTTTACTTAGCTTACCTTATTAGTAGCTAGATACCAACAAATAGAACATTTTGCTATACCACCCCATAGACTGTTCGCTTTTCCGGAATAAAAACCTCAGTAATTATTCAATGCTTTTTGAGTTTTTCCAATTTTGCTCAATATAAACTTCCTCAGATTCAAGCAATAAATTATAAAAAAAAGGTCCAGCCGTCTTCGAGTTTTGAGCTTAGCAATATATTTTGCGATTCATTTTTATTTATATAAATAAAAGGAATTATGTTACAATCACAATGGTTATTCATTTCATAGTGAATTATTTCTTCAAAAATAATAGTCGATTCTTCTTATAAAATAAAATTTGTTCGATTAAATTGGCCCTATGTTCTAATTCAATACATACAGGTGGACGAGTCTTGTCAAAGGCCCCCATAGCGATCTTGAAACCATCACCTTCACCAAGGAGAACATTCTCTTTGGGCACGCGAACATCTTCGAATGATATGCCGCGCGTATCGGACGCGCGTTGTCCCATGTTCAATTCCTGGAAATAATTATTTTTAGAGCCCAGACTGTTTTTTTTTTTAGTTATCAACATATGTTTAGTCTGTATAAATCCATGTATCCTAAATTAGCCAAGTTCGTTTATTAATTCGTTTGACAACTGATTTAAAATGCAACAATTGTTTTAAAAAAAATAGTAGAGTTCGGTGGCGGTTGTTGTATGAATATGTTAAATAAAACTCCGTCCGTCACTTACTCCATTCTTTGATCGCGTCACGGTATTTCTATTCGATTTAAGAAATAGGTCACCGATATCTCTCTAATTTTAAGACTTTTAGTGATAATATATCGACGCGATCCTACTGACTGCGCCAGTTAAGTTTGTTTAAAGCTGGGTAACAACTGTCTTTAATTGTATAAAACATGAGCTTATAACTAAGATAAGAATATTAGGGTTGCGATGCTGGATTAACAAAAAACTAACTTGACTTATTGGAGTTAGTAGATCTAAGTGAGACTTATTGGACATTATCGGAAACGAGAATGTTAAATTACAATTTATGAGTGTAGTTAAAACTAAAGGACTCATTTTGGCTTCAAGTGTGCGATATTGTTCACATTTTGTTTACGCTTTTAATTATTGACTAAAATACATATGTAACTTAACTAATGTTAGGTTACATAACTCTTGTTACTAAAGATTTCCATTCAAAACACGTGCAACCTTTTTTTGAAATGTCAGTAAAAATGGGTACCATGGAAACAAGGCAAATAAAGTTATAAACATGTGAGTATTTTTAAAGCAATTTAAAAAGTAGCATCATGTAAGAAGTAGGGTGAACAATGTCTATAACGTAAAGAGATCTTTCCCTCAATCTTCGACCAGTCTAACCACTGACTGGCCGGCTCGAAGGCCCCACTGGGTTAAGAAGTAAGTTCCAGGGTATGACGTCATCGCGTCATCGGTTTTCAGTTTTATTGCAAATAGCTACTATTGAAAACAAGGGAGTACATACCTTGCGTCCAGGGTTAACGCCGGGCCAATCTCTCTCCACAATGAAGCCAGTGAATGCCTTACTAGCTGGGCATTTGGGGTCCGGGTTTGTTCTCGCCAACACAAAGTACCTAATTTTTAATATAGTCTTTTAAATAAAAAAGAAGTGTGTCTACCTATGTACCCGCGTTAGGAGTTAGACTTCTTTCGTAATTTTTTTCGAGCACTTTAGAAGGACGTTTACCTCTTCGAATTGCATTTTTCTTGTCCATTTTAATGGTCACTTCCAATCGAAACGATATAATATATACTAATCATGATAATTTACAATAAACCCTATGTTTTTTATCCCATCACGTTTTCTCGTATAGACATCATTATTTTGGTTCAAATAAACACGACTCTGAAAAGACTACCCCATGACAGACAATGCAACTTATCGATAAAACAGAGCAAGCGCCAACTTGCGGCCCAGACTGTTTTACCGACGTTTGAACAGATATTCAGGGTGTCGGTTTTTGTGACGGTGTGCGCGAGCATCGTAAAAATTTACTCTCACTATTTTTCCCTAACGCGCCAAAAGAAGTATAACTTCAAAAATCATAATAGTTGCGCATACCACATAGGTACCCAACACAGCGACAATAAAAAAACCTAAGAATTACCAGTTGGCGACACCACCATTGGTGATCCACATTTTCTGGCCATTGATGATCCATTCGTCACCTTTCTTTACCGCTTTAGTCTTTACTCCAGCCACGTCAGACCCGGCACCAGGTTCTGTCACACAGTAAGCCTGAAATAACTCGACATTTGAAGGTAAAAGTAGGCGTGGTCCTTACATGGTTTCATGGTCGCAGCGTTGCTACAGGTCGAAGGAACTTAAATATTATCGTTAAGCATTCATATACTGAATTACAATTAAGTTCATTCTTAAGTAATGACACTAATTTGTTAGTTACTTAAGCTAATTGTTTATAGGTATAAAAAATAAATATAAAATGTCTGTTTTTTTTTATAATATGGAACTTCAGTTGTTGTTTTCATTTCGGTTAGAAACGTCGCGTATTAATTATTTTGTTCGAAAAAGTGCAATGCGCTGACGCAGCGCCGCGGTCGCGTTACGATGAATCGTTGACCTAGTATTTGTTATTGTGTAATGAATTAAAGTGAGGTTTTGTCTTTATAATTTTAATTATTATATTATATTTATGATGGCATTTCCAAATGTTATAGAAATTTAAACCCCAAAACGAGAAATTACTTGTGGGTGAACTTAAAAAGGAAAGAGCCCGATGCTCAGACCTGGAAGCTATTGTCTATCAACTCAAGGAGCGAATCACTCAGCTTGAACGAAAAGTAGACCAGCCCCTAACACAAGGGGACGTGGCAGTCGCTGAATCAATTCAGTATGAGACGGACGAAGAAGAACTGGTAAAAGAAACAGAATGGGTGTGACAAAAAAGCAGAAAGAAAAGGAAACTAAACACCTCCCCTTCCCCCATGAAAGAAGTTACTAATAATAAAGTAACAAAAGGAAAGCCCAAAAAGGAACCCCTTCCACCCCCAATTATTGTCGAAAATGTGATTGAATACCAATCATTTTACGATGCTTTACTTAAAAAAGAAATAAAAAAAGACTCTTTTACCGTGAAAATGCTCAGAAATGAATGGGTGAAGATTAACACCAACAGTGAAGCTACCTTCCGATGTATCACAAAGCATCTTAAAGAAGAAGATGCCTCGTGGTTTTTATATGAAAACAAGCAGTGCAGGCCAATAAGAGTAATGGCAAAAAATCTGCATGCTTCTTGCAAGCCAGAAAGGATAGTTGAAGACCTCATTCTCTAAGGTTTAAAATTTTAGATGCAGCCGTCAAATATAGCTGGAAAATCAAGGAACCGCTTAACATGTTCATTCTCTCTTTCCACCATCAGGAAAACATAAAAAATATTTATGAGATAAAATCGATACTAGGCTGCAAAATTGAAATACAGCCACTGAAATCGCCTAAATTGATTCCCCAATGCAAGAGGTGCCAGGCTTATGGGCACATACAGAAATACTGCTCCAAGGAGCCGAGGTGTGTAAAATGTACTGGAAAACATCTCACTGTTGATTGCAACAAGCCACGAGACGCGAAACCGAAGTGTGTTCACTGTGGTGAGGCACATCCAGCTAATTACAGAGGCTGTGTAGTAGCAAAAGAATTACAGAAAATCAGAAACGACTTAGAATCAAAATCAAAGACTGAAACGGGCAAATCTGTAAAACCAGCAAAATTAGTGTCAAAAACTGTTTCCTTTGCTCAGGTAACTAAAGGTTCCAAGACTCTATCCTCAACATAACAAAATACGACAGCTAACACAGGCATAGATGAAAAGATTAACACCAAACTTTCATTATTGACATCCTTTGATGAAAGACTTAAAAAACTAGAAAGCGGCACCAAAATAGCAGCTTCTAAACGTCTTAAGCAATGATGTCTTTAAAAATAATGGCATGGAATGCAAATGGGCTTTTTAAACACCAAAGAGAACTCCATATAATTCTAAAACATGAAAACATTGACATCTGCTTGGTATCGGAAACACATTTTACCAGGGAGTCATACATTCAACTTAAAGGATATAAAACCTACCATGCCCTTCACCCAAGTAATAAATCCAGTGGGGGAAGTACAGTTATAATAAAGGACAGTTTAAAACACCATGAGGTCTTCAAATACGAAAAAGAGCATATTCAGGCTGTGGCTGTGAGCCTATCAATGAAGCGGTTTCCATTAACAATATCATCTATCTACTGCCCACCAAGACATGCACTTAAGTACGACCAGTACAAAACCCTGCAAGAAAGTCTTGGAAATAGATTTGTGTTGGGAGGAGACTTCAATGCAAAACATACCTACTGGGGATCAAGACTCATATCGACTAAAGGAAAAGAACTGTTTAATGCAATGAAAGATTTGTGATGTGATGCAATTTCGACAGGAAAGCCTACATACTGGCCAACAGACAAGAATAAAATACCAGATCTTATAGATTTCTTCATATTTAGAGAAGTATCACCAAATGTTCTCCAAATAGAGGAAGCCTATGATATGAACTCTGATCACTCACCAATCTTACTCACGATTGGCGAAGACCCTATAAAGCGAAAACTGAATCCATCTCTCGTCAACACACATACGGACTGGGACAGCTTCAAAATTTATCTTGAGAATATGGTAGACCTAAGAGTACCTTTAAAGACTGAGGAACAAATAGAATTAGAAGTAAATAGATTTACAAAGAACATCCAGCAAGCTGCTTGGAGCAATACTCCAAAATTTAAGAAAAAGGTACAAAACAACTACTTCCCAGAAGAGATAATCGAATAATAAAATAAAAAAAATCTGATAAAGACAAAACGAGCTCAAAGAAAAAGGTGGCATTCCACAAGATGTCCTGAAGACAAAAAACGTCTGAATAACCTCACTAAACAACTGGGAGGGGGGAGATTACAAAACATAAAGATACTTCAATAAAGAGATACCTAAAATTAACTTCTGATGGTTCCACCAATTACTCCATCTGGAAAGCGATAAGAAATATCAAAAAACCTACTACACATATTCCTCCCTTGCGAGTCTGATGGGAATTGGGCTGCAAGTAACATACAAAAAGTTAGGAGGTTTGCTGAACATCTAGAAAATATATTTCAAATCGATGAAGAAGATTCACTTGACTTCGGGGAAATATCGCCAGAAGAGCTCAACATCCGGCTAGTCACACCAAAAGAAGTTTTCAGTGAAATTAAACGTTTGACTAAAAAAAGGCGCCAGGTTTACAGTGAGGTATTACAGCACCTTCCCCGTAAAGCCGTAGTTAAAATGACAACCTTAATTATTCCTCATTTCGACTTCAATATGTTCCCAATATGTGGAAAGTTGCAGAAGTTATAATGATTCCCAAGCCAGGAAAACCACCACACGAAGTAACGTCTTACAGACCAATCTCACTGTTACCTGTTATAGCAAAACTATTTGAGAAACTACTCAAACGTCTTAACCCTATTATTGCCAAAAAGCAGCTCATACCGGATTACCAATTTGATTTCAGAGAAAAACATTCTACCATAGAGCAGGTTCATAGAATTACAAATAATATAGAAAAAGCACTAGAAGAACAAAAAGTCTGCTCCACGGTCTTTCTGGATGTAGCTCAGGCATTTGACAAAGTGTGACACCGAGGACTTTTTTATAAATTAAAGAAACTACTGCCTCGTCAATTTTCAAATATCCTTGAGTCATACTTAACACAAAGAATGTTTAGGGTACGACAAGAAGATGATTATTCAGAACTGAAAGAAATAAAACCCGGGTGCCGCAAGTGAGTGTATTAGGTCCGGTCCTGTATCTCTTATACACATGCGATATTCCTGAACTAGAAGATAACGTAATGGCTACCTTTGCCGATGATACTGCTATCATGGCTACGGCAGATACTGAAAAGGAAGCGGTAGTAAAACTACAAAAAGCCATAAATACTGTTGGATTGTGGACCAAAAAATGGCGGATACGATTAAATCAGTTCACATAAACTTTACCAACAAAACATCAAATTACCAGCCAGTATATATTGATAACGTCAAAGTGCCGTTCCAAAATTCAGCTAAGTACCTAGGTATGACGCTGGATACCAAACTCCGATGGAAGGTCCAAGTTAAAAAGAAGCGTGAAGAGATGGATCTCCGTTTCACTAAATTGGTATATTTGCAACAGCGACCTCCATCGGGACCTTTATATAGAGGACGTCGCCACAATAATAAAAAAGACTGCTGGAGCCCACGAACATAGGCTCCACCATCACGTGAATGTCGAGGCTATTCAACTCCTTGACACCACTGGCCTAGTGAGAAGACTTAAAAGGACAAAACCATTTGAACTAGTGAATTAGTGTTAGTGCACGTCAGTACTAAATACACAGTGAGTGATAGAAAAAAATAGAACACAAGAAAAGAGTGTCTTCCCTTTAATAGAGACTGTAAGTAGTGTTATTGGACACTTTCTTATGTAAACATCCTTTTAGTAAATTAGGTTAGACTTAAATTACTTATTAGTCTTAAGTTAGGCTAGATTGTAATGTTCCATGATGTCTTAGTAAAGACACATGTATATATAAAATAAAATAAAAAATATGGAACTTGACTGTTCGATTTGAGCGATGTCAAAAAGTCAAAAATCATTTATTCATATAGGTAACTACATTGGTAGTGTATGAAAAAAGAAATATACATTAAATCATTTCAATTTTACATTTACTGCCAGTTCTCAAATCAAGGGCGTAGAACGGAAGAGAAGAACTGGCAATAAACTCGCATCCTCGGGCTTCCGTTTTGTTCCCATCAAGCACTTCTTAGTTTCCCATAAAATCGTTACTATACGACATCGATTCGATAACATGCTTGCCTATTCGTTTTGAGCAATTAAATAGACGCAAATAAGTAACGGCTATTTCATATTGTAATTCAGGTTTGAGGGTCATTGACCCTCGGGAAAGACGGGCAAGGTACTTCAACCTAAAGATCCACAAATAGCTTTTTATAAAATTATAATCTACGTGACAAACAGGGCATTTTTTAAATATTATAATTAATAATACTTACGGCAACAAGGGGCTCGTCGATGAGTCTACCCAAATACTTCTTTTGCTGTTCCTTATTTCCGGCAATTATTACTGGCGTTTGCTGAAAACATTGTAATTCTTTGTAAGATTTATCCAATCGATATGAATGTAAGTTAGCCATTAGTGACAGTTAAAAGTACCTATAGAAACGGGAACCCAGGACCACATTAAAGGTATAAGATTCAAAAATATAAATAGTAAATAAAATCAATAGACTTTCACTAATATTAAATCATTTATAGTGAAAATAGTTCTATTGATTTTACTTTATTAATGTTAGTATATAATTAAAGATGTATGAAGTGCAAAGCACGATTATTACCAAGTACTCTTGGAGAGCTTAGACAATTGAACTTCGATACATAAATACAAACTATAATATACATCGTTTAATAATTATGTATATAGGGTTTAAAATTCATTAACAAGCATCTATGCCTGGTACTACACGACGAGACATGCACCAGCTCATGCCATAATTATAGATTGGTATTTGCCACTCACTCCAAGACCACTTGCTTCCAATGCAGTCGCTATGCCTGTACAACCGAACGCAAACTCCTCCCCAATCAAACACCCATCAAAGACTCCCATATTCATTCCACCTGTAATTTAGGATGATTCAAGCGATAAATATGAGTCGAGTAGAATGATTTAACCATTACCAACAGTAGAGTGCTATCATAGAAGAGATGAGTTACTGTCTCCCACTCAAAACTATATATTGAAATATTAATAAAAGAATAATTGTGTTAGGCATATGTTAATAACACGTATAAGTATTTTTAGTTATATTCATGGTGATCAAAGATGTTATTCACGGTGAAAACTTTACAATTACGGTTGTTTCTACCAACCGTAATTAAAACAAAATTTCCTGTATCTCCTTTAATTAATTTAATTTAAGAATTTTAATTAAAAGATCAGTATTTGATAAAATCAAATATAATGTTATATCTTAGTTTACTTTGTCAATAAATAAACAATTCCCAATAATAATTAGCCAGGAATATATAAAACCTATTATTATATACACAAAAGTACAATAAATTCTATAATAATTAATAATATATGATTTAATGATTCAAATCCCTGTACATGAAGCTCGTTCGTACATTCGTGCACTCATGAGTTAGCAAAAAAGTAAATGACAAAGATATATGTACTTAAAAATAGAGAGTGAGTAGAGGTTAAGTCCAAAACGGGAAAATTATTCCATTATGTCGTGTTTTATTCCTGATATAGGTACCTTTAACCGCTTAAAGCGACATGTCAAAGCAGTTCACCCAGTGCGAAAATAAGATAAATAATTTACGACTTACTTCCGTATCTATACAAAGTTTTTAATAATTTCTAAATTAAGCCAATATTTATAACGTTCTTAATGAATATTTTATGTGTAGTACACGCACATTGCTTATGTAAAAGTTTAGATCCACCCTAGCTTAATAATTACTTATTTACCAAGTTGAAAGGAACTGCTAAGTATGATTTCGTAACAATATTCACAAATTTATTTTTACCGATTACTCAACTACAGTATAAAAATTGCATAATCAAATACTTAATTAAACCATATAACTATAGATACGGAGGCATGTTAACTCTTTTACCGAAACAATTTGAACGCCTTATGTTACATATATTTCGGCACCTTAAAAAATTTTGATAATCCCAATAACTCACTCCCAAATTCGTTCCACCAACAGCCGTTCCGATGCCGGTACAACCGAAAGAAAACTCTTCACCGATGAGACATTCTTCAAACACTCCTAAATTGCCTACACCCCCTGTAATTACGCCTTTTAATAATGCGAGCATGGCCGATATCAATAAGAAAAGAAAAGACCGCATGCTTTCCTAATCACACAAATCACAACATTAAAGTGCGGATGCTCACTCCGACGTCAGTGATGTACAAAGATGCCATCAGTCCTGAACAGCCGAAAGCTATCTCTTCGCACACGATACAACTCTCCATAACGCCTAAGCCTAACCCGCCTGAAATTAAAATGCTGATAATGCTCAGCATATTTTATACACCTTCAACGCAAGGATAAACATACTTTACAAGAAATTGAATCATTAGGATCTCATCCTTGTCTGTTAATTGCTATATTACAATCAGAATATTATATCTCATTCGGACTTACACCTATATTAGAAGTACGGTTGCTTTAATACCAGCACAGGCAAAGGCCACTTCTTCAGTTACCAAACAACCGTCAAAGACACCTAGTCGTAATATTAGTTCCTTACATAAGAAATTGGAACAAAAAGTAGTTTATTTGTAATTTAATCTATATTTAATCAATCAAAGTATGTACCATTGCTATCTATGAACTTTTGACATCTTATAAGTTAATTGATCCCTTTACTAAAAAAACATTCGGACGGGAATCAATAAAATCTTTGTAGGCGGTTTCGACTGCCCCATCAGAATGAATTTTTACCTTGCAAGAAGTTATACAAATTTCGAAAAAATGTGTTCTGTTGGAGCAAGGTTTGGGGACTACGTTGGATGTCTTAGACTTTCCAATTGAAGCTAACAAATTGAATTTGGACTTCCTAACCAAAGAGGAGATATTTGAGGTCAAAGTGGCTAGTACGATAAAACGCCATATGTAAAGATCTAATATTATTACAAATTAATCTGTATATAAATAATATCCAAATAAAACGATGCATTTTAGTCTTAGTCCTATTAGATTACATGATAATCGAACATAGGTAAATGGAAAAGAGATTGAGATTTTTTTCTGTATGAACATGAGAAAATATTATTCTATTTATGCCTTCATATGCTATCGTACGAGATAAGTAGAGTTGTTTAGAATCCTCCGCTGAAATTCACTCTTCTCGACTATTTTTAATAAATTTTTTTGTATTATTCAATTTATAGTAGCCAAAGTAGGTTTTCGACTGTAAATAGGATTGTGGATAATAAAGGTAGATTCTAAAATACCTACCTTTTCTGCGTAGTCCAGCAGTCTTGAAGAAAGATATAAAAAATAGTCATAAGTTATCTTTGTAATATAAATGGAATTTAATTAATTTGATACTGAATGTTGTTATAACAATTATATAAAACTTTATGGCTTCCTAGGGATTTCCATAGAAAATAAATATAAATTCCAATTAATAACAGATAAGATTATTGTTCTTTGTACGATGATCATCGGGTAATTACATAACTTATTTATTGATAGACGCAGATTATAAACAACAGGATGCAAATGTGACGAACCTAACGTGAATAATAAGGTGAAAAATATTTCAGTACGCACAAAGAAAAATAACAGTCAAAAATAATTTTCTTATAACAAATTTTTAATAATAATTTTCTTAAAGAGGGGCTGTCACGAACCTAGTTTCACTTGAAATTACTTCTACTTCAAATATAACTGAAATGTAAAAAAAACCCAGTAGAGCTACAACTTCATGAGCATTTCTTTTCTTAATTGGCAAGAAGGTGATCAGCCTTCTACGCCCACACACGCCGTCTAAGTTTAAGGCCGGTTTTCTGTGGATTTTTTCCTTCAGCGTACGAACGAGTGTTAAATTGCCACATAGAAAAACCACTGGTGCACAGGTGGGGCTCAAACTTTCGACCCCAGGGATGAGAGTTGCACGCTGAAGTCACTAGGCCAATACTGCTCATAACTAATCTAAATTATTAATGTAAAAAATGTAACTGCATAAACATTTGAAAGTGAGATGACATTACCACAGTGTTCGGGAATATGTCCATTCATAAGCCCGAGCTCCCACGCCTTCTTGACAATGGGCCATGGGTACTCCCCAGACTTGTCATATTGAGCTGCTACTGGTGTAATTTCTTCCCGGGTAAATTTCCTTGCCAATTCTTGAAGTGCTTTTTGTTCATCAGAGAGTTCTGAAACAATGAATGTTATGTATTATTAAATTAAAGAGTAATTTAAACTAAATTAGCAAATTAATTAATATAGCAAGTTTTATTTAAACTTTGTAAAAGTAAATGCATCGGAATGTATTTTAAAAATAGTATAGTTCTTCCCTGCGTTGGCATGTTAAAGAGATTTAAGTATATGATTCGTTTACCGGGGTCGAAACTGCGCTAATTATGTCAAAAACATATTGAATTTTGACATACTGATACATTACTAATTTAAACTAAATTCACAATTAATATTTTACTTGTAAAAGCCTGTAGTTGTACATACAAGACCTGCGTACGCTTTCTAATTAAAGTCTCTTAACAATTTTTGACGATGAACCAAAGTTCTTGTTCAAATTATATCTGTGGTGATTATTATTAGTATCTTGTGATCATTATCATATGAAATGAAGGACACATAAAATCCACAAACAGATATACGTTAACTGTTTCATTAAGTTCCACGTGTCGACGTGATATAAACAATATTCTATAAGGAAATTACTAATTGAAAAAAAAATATAATTCTGTTTTTGTTAACATATAAATGTGAAAATAAATTACGAAAATTTTGTATTACGTAAGAGACTTGGTGCCTCAACGAGGAAATTTGTAAAAAGTTTAGAATAATTTAAGAAGTAACGACTGTATGAACCATTTTATATAAAAATAATTCAAATTACAAGTTAAATATATAATTTAAAAAAAATCACTAGTTACCCCTTCCAAAAAGTAGTTTCATATCTAGAAGAATGAGCAAGAAACTCCATACTTACTCTTTTAAAATAGTTTTTACAATATTTTGTATATATTTATTTGATAATTATATATGAATACCATGTACCTAGAGTTAAAAAAACTACTATACTAAAATAAAATAGGCGCATGGTGTTATAAAAAAACAATACCGCAGATAACTAAATTATTATGTAGATACATGGTGCACACATATTCAATAATAATAGTTAGTTTTTATTTAAAGAACTATTTACCGTCCTGAAACATACATACATGTAAGTGTTTGTATGTTTTTTACTTTAAGTGTTTGTATGTTTTTTACTTTTTGTTTGAATAGTCATCGGCTTTAGTGAGACATTTTTGTTTATTATTTCTTTTGCTGTGTCTCTTGTAAATATCCATGTACGAAATATTGTTTGCATTTGTTATAAATGCAATAAGTTCTTTTTGATTATGTACTTATTTCTCCTTCTCAAAACTTTAATCAACAACTCTCCTATTGCACACTAAAACACCTTGCATCAAGTCAAAGGTGTAACAATAATAACAATCACTTCTTAGATTGATAATAGATATTAAAACATAATTAATTTTATATCTCGAACCAAATTCGATTTTACGATTAAGGTTTCCACATTGTCATATTATATCTGTGTTAGATAGATAGATAGATATTGACGTAACCTAAATGACTTAGATAAGAAAATTAAATAGAATTTGTGTTAAAATAGGATGCGATATTTTCAAAGTTATAAATATTTTAGAGTTGGGTAATTGTATGAAAGTTGCCTTATTTGATTTTGCAATAAAAACGATTTTATTTTCCATATGGCGATGGGGCGATAATGAATTTGAACAGGTGCTACTTGTGGTACTACTAGTAGAACTGGCAGATAATGTTAACTTAGGATGCATTTAATTATTTTATACACTGTGTATAAAGTGTTTACATATAGTTTATAGAAGTGTACTTAAATTAATATTTTGAAGTGTCCTGATATTGTCGTTATAGTAAATTTGTTCATAGAAAAGTTTCTTGTGTGTTGTTTATCTCTATAATATGTACACTTAAAATTTAATCTGAGGTTTTGCTGCATATTTTATTCTAACCTTAGTCATGACAACAACCGGAGGCAATGATATCTTAATCCTTTTAGTGTCATATAAAATTTACAATTTATTTTTATATATGTCACAGCCAACTAGCTTAATTAGCCGTTCAATTAACAGCCTAGCCGTTTAACTAACGGCTTGAAATATTCAGCCGTACAACGTTTAATAAACTGGCTGGCTAGTAATTAGGCCATTCGTACGAGTCATTATTTGGCAGATATAAAAAGATAAACATATGCCATAAAAAATAATGCTTTTAAAATTGAATTGCTTAAGTTTTTTTTTTTTTTTTATAGAACGGGGGGCAAACGGGCAGGAGGCTCACCTGATGTTAAGTGATACCGCCGCCCATGGACACTCTCAATGCCAGAGGGCTCGCGAGTGCGTTGCCGGCCTTTTAAAAATTGGTACGCTCTTTTCTTGAAGGACCCTAAGTCGAATTGGTTCGGGAATACTTCAGTGGGCAGCTGATTCCACATAGTGGTGGTGCGCGGCAAAAACTGCCTTGAGAAACGCTCAGTTGTGGAACGTCGGACGTCGAGGTGATACGGGTGGAATTTCGTATTCTGCCTCGACGTCCGATGATGAAACTCAGCTGCAGGTATTAATCCGAACAACTCCTCTGAACACTCTCCATGGTAAATGCGGTAGAAGATGCAGAGTGACCCCACATCTCTACGCAACGCCAAAGGATCAAGCCGCTCGGAGAGGGATTGGTCGTCTTCGAACCGCTCTGCGTTGTATACGGTCAAGTGGAAGGAGCTGGTACTGGGGAGCCCCCGCCCAGAGGTGAGAGCAGTACTCCATGTGGGGCCGAATTTGCGCTTTATATAGTTGCATGCGGTGGCCCGGAGTGAAGTACCGTCTCGCCTTGCTGAGCACACCAAGCTTTTTGGAGGCTAATTTAGCCTTTCCCTCCAAGTGACCGCGTAACTGAACGTCGCTCGATATGTCAACGCCAAGTATTCCAATGCTGGCTGTGGCTTTAAGAAGAGTGTTTTCGAAAAGAGGAGTAGCGACAACGGGTGTTTTTTTAGCGGAAAACGCGCAAACTTGTGTCTTCTTGGGGTTAAATTGGACTAGGTTTTGTCTGCCCCAATCTGAGACTCCACGAAGTAGAGTTTCAACTTCAGACACAAGTTTGTTCCGGTACTCATCAACAACTGCCCGAGAAATACCTGCCCGGCCAGTGTAAAAAGTATCCCCAGTACTATCATCCGCATAGCAATGAATGTTGCTAAGTTTCAACATATCATTGATATGCAGAAGAAATAGGGTCGGGGATAGAACACAGCCTTGTGGGACCCCAGCGTTTACGGGTTTTAGGTCGGAACATGCTCCGTCGATGACGACCTTGATGCTCCGATCGGCCAGAAAGCTGGAGATCCAATTGCGTAATTTCTCGGGAAGCCCATAGGCTGGAAGCTTCGAGAGCAGTGCTCTGTGCCACACCCGATTGAAGGCTTTCGCTATGTCCAAACTAACCGCTAGCGCCTCCCCCTTGGACTCAATTGCCTCTGCCCATCTATGTGTAAGGTATACAAGAAGGTCACCAGCCGAACGACCACGACGAAAGCCGTACTGATAATCGCTAATCAGCTGGTGGCCCTCTAGATACCTCAAGAGCTGGCAATTAACAATGGATTCCATTATTTTGGAGAACAAGGAGGTTATAGCTATTGGGCGATAGTTGGACGGATCAGAGCGATCGCCTTTTTTAGGGATCGGATGTATCAAAGCGGTCTTCCAGCACTTCGGGACAGTGCCGAGCGAGTACAGGTACCGGAAAAGGCGCGTTAAGACCAGAGCCAACTAAGGAGCACAAGTACGCAGCACAATTGGGGGGATACCATCCGGCCCGCTCGACTTATGAATGTCCAAGGAAGATAGTGCTTTGCGGACAGCACGTTGCCGGAATGTGATTTCCGGCATCGAAGAATCACACCGCGAAATGGTCGGTGGTGATCTCCCTCGGTCATCCAAAGTCGAGTTAGACGCGAAGAGACAGCCCAAAAGGTCAGCCTTCTCCTTCGCAGTGTGGGCCAGAGAGTCATCCTCCCTGTGCAGTGGCGGAATGGCGGGCTGACAAAAATTCCCTTGGACAGCTTTGGCTCGCCAAAGTCTCTCGAGACCAGAAGGCTCGAGTCCCTGATGGGTGTTGGGCCAATCTCTCGCCAAATCTGGCAATGTGCTCTGACTTTGCCTTAGTGATTTCCCGTTTGAAGGACCTGGAGGCTGAGTTATATGCTTTTTTTAAGTTCGCTGGTATTGGCATCACGAGATTTCGCCGCTTCCGCCCATGCCTTAAAGCATTCTCGCTTTCGACGCGAGGCCGCCTTGCAAGAACGTTTAAACCAGGGCTGAGACTTGCCACCGATCGGCACCGCAGAAAATGGAATAAAGAGTTCCATGCCCTGCAGAACCACTTCGGCGACAGAGGCGGCGACGGAATCTGGAGCTTCCGGCGAAAAGCACATAGGCCCCCAAGGGTAGGACGCAAAGAAAGACCGCATCCCGTCCCAATCTGCTGACTTATAGTGCCAAATACGGCGACAACCCATAAAGCGGGGCCGTGAAGGGCGCGTAGATGGCACAGTACTCCGGACCACACAATGATCTGATGAACCCAATGGCGGGTCAACAGAGACTTGATAGTTCTCCGGATGAGAAGTCAGCAGAAGGTCCAACAAAGAGGGTTTATGACCATCCACATCTGGTATTCGCGTAATCGCAGGGACCATTTGTGTCAGGTCGTAGGCTAAAGCAAAGTCGTGAAAGGATCTTCCCGCGTGATCGGTGGTTTCAGAGCCGAGCCAATCGGCATGGTGGGCGTTAAAATCGCCAAGTATCACGATTTCAGCGGTAGGAACCCTTTCGAGCAGGGAATCTGTAGCCATTTGGATGTGCTCAATGAGTCGGTCAGTTTCGGTATTTCCGCTATGGGACCTATACAGGCATGCGTAGAATCGCGGATGGTCATCGCAGTCTACGCGCAGCCAGAGGTTAGATAGGTCCCTTCCTTCAAGCGTCCCGAGGCGACGAGAACAGATATCCTCTCTGACGTACACGCAAACTCCAGCCTGCGGCACAAATGAATGTTCCAATTTGTACCCCGGGTAGGATAGGTGGGAAGTATCAGCCGGGGAGGATATCTGAGTCTCGGTAAGAAAGAGCAAGGCCGGCTTCGCAGTCTCTAGATGATAGTGGACAGCGTTGATGTTAGAATTAAGCCCCCTAACATTTGTGAAGTCCACGGCGAGTGTGGACGGGGGGTGCCTTTGTATAATTGCTCCGTTTGCCCCGAGGACGATTACTATTTTTGTAGAGCGCAGAATTGCCCCCCCCAGAATACGAAGGGCAGCCTGTGCGTCCACCATCGGGTGCTGAGTGTCCCGGTGGTGGACGCCCAGAGGGAGATTCTCCACCGCGAGCGCGTGTGGTACCCCCCTGGGGTAGATTCTGTTTTTTCTGCACCTTCATATTTCTTGTGTGGGGGGGGGGGATGGGCTGGGCTGGTCAAATTCACATTAGGTATTATTGAAACTACTCTTTCATTGTACTTGTTGTTTTTCATGAAAATTTGGACACCATCAAAGTTGTGGTTTGCCGACGCCATATTGACAGTTTCACGAGTTTCGTTTCTAGTTTGAGAGTAGCAGAAAGTGGAATTAAATTTAAATTAACAGTCAACAGGCTAGGCAAGTAATGAAACGTGATCGATCCAAGTCATTTGTCTAGCTGTTTAATCAACTGGCTGAACATCTTTCAGGCCGCTAGTTAAACGGCGCCGTTTAGTTAAACAGCTAGACTGTTAACTGAATGGCTAATTAAGCTAGTTGGCTGTGACATATAGATAGCATGCAAATGGCAGTTTTCTAAGTAAACAATTGTGTGTTTATTAAGTTAAAGTTTTAAAATTTTGGAATTAATAATTAGTTATGAAGTAATCAGAATACTTCAAGAGCCAATTTGCTCAACTGTTATGTAATAAGAGATTAATATCACTTTATTACTACTAAATTATGCATACTTAATTAATATAACTATTATGATTAAAAGAATGGTTAATTGTCTAAACGTAATTAATCATTAACTCCTTCAGGTGTGTAATTGGGAAATAAATAATAATATGTAAGTAGCTTCATACTAATATGTGTGGACCAACAGCAGAAACAATTTTGTGACCAAACAGTTCATAGATTCACTATCAGAAAAAGCGAATGACTATTTAATCATATAACAAGTCACTCCTTGTTAGGTTACATTTATGTAAATACTGATAATTTTGCACAAAATATTTAGATTTCTTTACTTACCAAAGCACAAGCCAGTAGATGGGATTTCTTTGGCTTGAGATGCACTTGACACAGATGTGGAGAAAGTGCGATAGATTGGCCTGGCAGCACGTACAATCTGTAATTACAATAAAATTATACATCTCATATGATTTCAGCTAATACTGATTATAGAAAACCGCTAAAGTTTAAAATTCGGAATAAACAGGAAGTGAATACAGATTACAACATAATGCTGTGAAGCACACATGGATTAAAGCATGACACTTTTTATTTTGACAATGTAGCTCTACTGTGATAACAGTATCGAAGGATTATATTAAACAATCAGTGGTCTAAATAGCACATTATAATTGTATGAGTTTAGTTACCACAAATGGCTCAGTAAACAGACAGTAATTTGTCTGCTCCATAATCTACTGTGAGGTATTCAGTAGATTATGGAGGGTATGGAAAGGTTATCAATCACACAAACATTACAAAAGTTGTATAAAATCAAAAAAAATAAATAAATAAACAACAAACCATAATTCACTTTCCTTTTAATAAACCTATGCTTACATGTCATCAGCGAAGCCAAGAACAATTGTCGTTTACTCAATGTACTTTATATTATACAATGATTACTTTTTTACAATTTCATTTCGTTAAATTACAGGAAAAATTTATATAAGTATGTCACATAGATAGGATTTACCACAAGAAAAAGTAAAAATTAATTATCAACAAATGTAATATAAATAATTCTTAAAATATACAATTTTTCGCCAAATTTACAAGAAAAAATTGCCATAATATACAAAAACAAAACTTGCATGCTTAAACAAGTTTTTAAATGTAGGACAGTATAAAATAAACCAATAAAATTAATGTCCCTATAGTTCCTGAGTGGTACACTTCATTAAAAAGCTATTTATATGATATATTTCATCGCTTCGCCAAAAACTTCAAAATTATCGTGATACGAATGAAATTTACTTAAGTACTTGTTATGTTCCATTGAACTTTGGACTTTGTATCTACGGTCGTGGAGGTGTACCAGTATGATTGACATACTAAAAGTAGGATAACACATTGCCTTAGAGCATTAATTAACATAATTGTAATATTTTAAAGCCGCGACCTTTTACTAAAAACTTTTTAGATGATTTAAAACAAAGATATTCATAATTATAAGAAACTTACTTGGCTTAGAGGATTCATAATGGTCGACCTGAGATAATAGTTTTTCCTTATTATAAGCTGTATAGGATCGTTACAATAAAAACTCAGTGGCCACGTCCGATATTAATAAACTTTCGATTTATAATAACTAATAAGAAATATAAAATCCCGAGAAAGAGAATGCTCGATTGCTACAGGCTTTTGTAGCCAGCTGCCAGTGATGCCAACTTCTACAGAATGTTTCCCCTAAGAAAAACTTTAATTACATATACGATTAGAGAGGTAATTTCTAAGGGCCGATTTACATTATCTTAGTGTTTAGCAGAGTGCTTTAGGATAGTACTTTAGTTGAAACATGTAAACGCTACTTGTATGCTTTAGTACGGTTCTACTTGACTTTCAAGTTGAATCAAAATAGAATCGCTTTTATTTTTGTTTCAAGTGATACCCCTCCCGCACCCGCGCAACCCCCGAGATCTTCCCTCGTTGTGTGTAAACACGTAATTTAGTAAAATCTTTAGGATAGTGCACAAGTGCCGTGAAACGCGTGCGTGTTTTTTGATTTTTAAAGATGGCTAAATGGTCGGAAGATACGACTGTCAAATTTGTGACTGAATATGTTGTACACGAATGTTTGTGGAACTTAAAAACAATTTATACAAAAACAAACAGGCTAGGCATTCGGCATACACTGCCTTAAAAGAAGCTATTTTATTTATTATTTATATTTAGTTTATTTATTTGGAATAAAATCTCGTCTTCTATTTGTTCCACAACTACAGTTAGTATTTTGCGTAGAATAGAGCGTATTTGCCGACGTCGTTGCGCGTTCTTTGTGGCGCTGTAATGATACTCTACTGGAAGAAATGTAAACGTTCACTAGCAACGCACTAAAGCACTAAAGAACTTGCCTTTCAAGTTGTACTAAAATACTCTCCTAAATACTAAGATAATGTAAATCGGCCCTAATATGCATCACAAATACACTCAAGTAGTATAAAATTCAAGCCTGGAGCTTTTTGGTATTTAAGTTATAGAGCCACGCAGAGAGTTTAAGATCAGGGCTGAATAATACAATAAATTGCATAAAATCTCGTGCGTTTTAAAAAATACTAAATTTGTTTTCAACACAAAGTACCCCTTAAAATTATCCTAACGGCCGCTTTCTATACTCATTCCCAATCCAATTTTTACTAATGAAGATTGATATTCCAATTAAATTTTAAATAAAAAATTACAATAATGTACCATCTAAAAAGCCTCGAGGACAACTTGATCCCCCTAAATTTGGGGAGAAATCACTATTTGCAGTAAACTGTGTACTAAATGGCCAATACTGGCAAACCTAAACAAAGTAAAAACCAATACATAATTCACTAAAATATGTTTATCTCTTTCGTCAAACACAACGACACTGAAGACAGAAAGGGACATATATTTTTTATATTACGTACCATAAATTACAAATATATATATACATATACTTGTATATACAGAGTGGCCAAAAAGTCGTGGATCAAACGCAAATAGGGGATAGATGAGGTCATCAGCTGCAAAAAATTGTTCTACGGGAGGTCTCTAAGCTGCAGAGTTATAATTTATTTTGCATTTTTATAAGACAATTGACTTTTTTTACTAATTCTTATAAAGATTCGAAAAAATCTACATTCTGTATTTATAGTTGTTTATTGAGTGTATTCAAGATAATATTAACTTATACGATATATATTTTTTTTAAATCGTAACTTTCTGTTTAAACATAGTTTGACGAATAAATAAAAAACTTAACTTGTTAAAAAAAATTGTGCTATCAATCATATTATTATGTTAATATGTGGTAAATGTGAGTGAGTATGAAAATATAAAATTTAGGAAACTACGAGTCGGATCACAAAAACCTGACAAATTAACTTTAATGTCTAAATTTTTACTCTACAAGCCACAGTATATTAATAAGTGTAGTGGAAAATGATATGAAAGTCTCTTTATTAGTTAGAATACCTTGACTCGATCAAGGAATGGAATAAGGTGATGGACGGCGCTTTGTTTTCACATAGGTAGGTATCATTTGTTTAATTTTTACATAGGTATGTTTAATAGAAGAAGAGTTTCGGTCCGACGTCACTGAAGACTCCAGCATCAATGACAGAGCGCGTTTCAGTATACGTCTTCAGTTACTACTGAAGTTCAGTATACTGCCCTCTTAAAGAGGGAGGAGTTATGTAACCTAACATTAGTTAAGTTGCGCAACCAAATGTTAGAAATTATCCCTTTAGTTTTCCCCACACTCATAAAATGTAATATGTCCAAAATGTCGACTACACTTATATTAAAGTGTCACATAGATTTAATAACCCTTAATTAATAAGCTATTAGCTTCTTTGTTACGTTAAATTAAGTTGGCAACATTGTCTATGTAGAAGCCAGAGAGAAAGAAAGAGTACGAGAACTTTTTTCTTTATTCTCTGATCACTGAATCTGTGATTACTTTGTACTAATCTATGAAAATTGAAAATCCTAAAATCTACTAATCTATAAAATATCTTTTTATAATTATATTTTTTTAAGTTAATTTATAGTGTGGAATGTGGATTCATACTAATGATCAGTATTCTTTATTTATTATTTACTATTTTACTACTTTTCAGTAAATCAAAATCTGGAGAATTGCCCATTATTATAAGAGATTGAAATAAGAGAAGTTAACAATTATTAAGAAGACTTAAAATGTTTAGTGGTTTCTGTAAACTTAGTAAAAGTTATTTTCCTTTACTCAATGCTACTGCAAAAAAAAACTCCATAAATGTTGTAAGGCAAAGCTCAAAGTTTACTCCTGGCCAATCTATTAGACTGCAAAAGATAAAAGAGAAGGAACCCGGCGAAGTAATTAAATGGATGTTATTGGTATAGATATTTTACTATTACATAACCAATTTTGGTGCTAAGTGCTATAATTTATAAAATTACTTTACATTTGAAGGTTATACCAGTTGGCTCCTTTGGCTTAGGTTGTTGGCAAGCATATCGCCTACAATGGAAGTTAGAACTTATAGACAGAATGCAAGCAACAACAAATTCTTCGCCTGTGGATATCCCACATGAGTATGTAAGCTCTTACTAAAATAAGCAATATTATGAACTGAAAGATTTTACGGTTTGTTAGTTTCAGCTTCTGTAACTTATATTTAATCACTAATTACAGTTTTCATGAACTTGATAATATGGAATATAAACCTGTAAAAGTTAGAGGAGAATTTCTGCATGATAAAGAATTTTTAATAGGCCCAAGATCTCTGGTTGAAAATGAAAGTTTGCCAAGAGTTGGTTCATTTGTATCGGATCCTAAAAAAAACCAAGGATGGCTGGTGGTAACACCATTTAAATTGTCAGATACTGGGTAAGTTTTTATTGCTTAAAAAACCATTATAAATTTGTTATAATGGTATTTTTAATTACATAATTTAATTTTGAGATATGATCTTAGATTTATATGTGATCACATCTTTTTATGAAACTGAAATATAAGTGAGTAAATCCGATTTTAGTGAGGTAATCTTAGTAAATCGTGGTTGGATACATCAAGGACTTCGGTCAAAGGAAAGGCGACAAGCATCAATGATTAATGGTGAAGTTGAACTTACTGGAGTTGTCCGATTAACAGAAACAAGAAGTCCATTTATGCCAAAAAATAATCCAGTTAAAGGTTCATGGTTCTATAGGTACGGTAAATTAGATAGGTTTTTAGTGATAAACTATATCTTGATTTTATAATAAACATAGTTTAGGCCTCAAATAGCTGTAGAATTAACTCCTGTACTTTTGTATATAAACAATGGTTCTTAGTTCTTTTTTGCTAATTCAGGCTTATTCTATATATATAATAAGACTCTTTCTTGTATATTGACAATAACATATAGACTTTATACTTAGTAGTTTTAGCTTTTTAAATAGTGACACCTAACAAATCAAAATATATTCCTTTTTAGGGATTTGCATCAAATGAGTGCATACTTAGGATGTGCACCAGTATGGATAGACGCAAGAGGCAATCCGGAGCCACCAGAAGGATGGCCCTTGCCCAATCAAACACGAGTCAATCTAAGAAATGAACATATGTCATATCTTATAACTTGGTACTTGTTGTCAGCATTTACTGCAGTTATGTGGCATCGCTACTTTATAAAGAAACTTCCTCTTGTGTAGAGCATCAATTTTTGTTTGTAGTATAACAAATATTTATATTGAATTGTCATTTTCTTTACCTTGCTAAGTAGTTTGTAACAAATTACAATGTGTAGTCCCTTAGGTTATTAAGAGCCTTACAATTTACCTAATCCCATAGGAAACAGTTTGCTATGAGTAATTGATCAGAGAGTTAATAGCAAATTATAATTAACAAAATATGCAATATTATAAAGTTTCATATTTTATTATGGTCTCTTAAATAATAGGAAAATGTTGTATCATTAAGATAAAGAGCGTGAACAATTTTATATTTTCAATTTACGAAAATTAGTATATAGCTGATTAAACAAAAGCAAAAGCTTTTTAGGGGAAAGAGGTTTAAATAAATTTTCGAGGTAAGTATATGAGAAAATTTATTATGGATAGATTACACGGATCGTCAATTTATAGTCGCGTTTGGTTGTTTCTATTATAAAAGAAATAAAGTTGATTTTTTATGATTATATATTTTCTGAATTGAAAAAATAAAAGTTGGCCTTTAGTGGAAGAAGGATGGCGTACTTTTCCTCCTACCTACGAAGGGTACTCGATCAATCTAAGCACTGACTGGCCGGCGCGAAGGCCCAATTGACAATAACCTTTCAGGATATCTTCGTGTCTTCTTTATAATTTGCAGTCGCAAATTGTGGGCGTCGCTGCAAGTTAATATAATAATATGCATGCAGAATAATTACGGAAATTTATTACTTTAAATTTATAATGCTAATTACGTTTATGGCATATTACCAAAACACATTCAATGTCACTCGAGTCTCAAAGTAATAACAATTAATCATACAGAATGACTTCCTTTACACTTTAGCCGAAATTTATATGCTCATTAAAACATATTTTATATATAAATAAGGACCTAAAATATAAGTGGTATTTAATATAGAACCTCTTCTAATTAACATTGAAAAAGTAGAGGAATTTTATTAATTGAGATACATAACTAAAATGATTCAACAATGGTTCAAGGAACTTTTAATTTTTTAGTGTTCTGTTTTATTTGTAAATGTAGGTTATTTATTTAAAAAATAAATAAATATAAGATATAGTTTATTCGACATAAACTAAAAGTGGTTAGCCCATGTATTCGGTCGATAATTTAATTTTGTAATCAGAAAGTTCTGAAATAGCGTCGCTAGAGTTAGAAAGGCAACAGCTATCTCTCTATCCCAACAAATAACACGATGGATTTTTAGTAAAGGTACATTGAATTGTAGAAGTTATCCTTTATATACTGAAAGACAACAGATGGTTGCACTTGTGTACAGATACCGGCAAACTTCTTGAGCATTAAACAATGGAGTGGGGGAAAGTTTGCGCATCGCGGGACACAACACAAATGTCAACTGATTTACCAATCTCGCGATCGCCACGTCACTCTCCCGCTGCCGCACACCACCGCCCAAGTGATACCTATAAATCGCTTCTGCGCAGGCAAGGACATTTCGTCATGATCGTAGAACAATGTCGGATTTGAAAAACATCCAAAAACCACTTTTTATCATATTTGGATACTACATTGACAAAAGTTTACGGCTATATTTAAAAAAAGTCTATGTGTTTTAAATTTCAAATTAATCATTCGGTAAAGTGACGAATTGGATACAAACATGTGATTTTTCTAGAAAACTGTGTAATTTAATGTTAGTATTTTTATTTTGTTTCAAAAGAAAATGAATTAAAATAGTTATGACAAAAACTAACATGATTATATTATTTTGAAATGGCTGCCCTGTAAAGTTTACTATTTGTCATATCCGTCACTATTCTACGACTATGACGATTTGTTCAAGATGTTTGCCGGTATCGGTAGGAAGGGTGTAGTGCGCACTGCGCATCTTCAGACCTAAAGGGACAATCCTCGACCGGTCTAACGGCCATTTGGCTGACCCGACTGTGAATTACTGTGATTGAAAACAAATTTCAATCACAGTAATTCATTAAAAATTAGTAAGGGATGTCTAAGTTCCTAAGTTGTTCTTGGTCTTAGCTTTCCGAAACATGCCCTTATTTTTGGATTTCAGACATGCCGGTTTTCTCATGATGTTTTCCTTAATTGATGAGCGAGTGTTAGATGCGCGCAGAGAAAACCGGTAATACCTTCATTAATATCTTACACAAAATTACATAAATTCGATAAACGTTGTCAAATATTTTTAGTACATTTAAGTTTAAAAAACAATTCGTAAGCCTATTAAATTATCTGTAATTAATTCGTCTTGTGCTGTCTATTGATATCAGGATCGCTGTCCGTTTCGCTATTGGAATTTCCAGAGTAAGGACTCAATTTCTCACTTTGTCTCGCGATAAAGTAATTTTTATCGACCCGTCTTTAATGCTCAGTTGTCACAAAACAGCGAGATTGTTTTGTTTTGTAAAATCGATATTAAACCTAATTCTTGCAAATACCTACGTTATCTGCTAGTAGTATATTAATAGAAAAATTTAAATAAAAAAATTAATATAATGAGTATCTATAAAATTATAAAGGTTAAACTAACGAATTATTTCTTTATTGACGTTTGTGTGTTACCTAAATAAATAATTTTGACTTCTTATTTATGTAAGCTTCTTACAATAAGTCATAATAATAATCGAACAAAATAGGATTTTGACGATGAAGATTTCGACAGTATCTATGTTAATGTTATGATTGTCCTGACCTAAATGATTTAGATAAAAAAAACAGCCCAAGCGAAGAATTTAGGTGTTAATTATAATGAAAGACCTGCAATTAGGATTCACCTTATGTCGTCATTGCCGGCTATTAAAAATAATGGTGGCGGATGCGGGCAAATAATAATTAGGTGTGGCCCCATTTCTACCATTAAACCATCAAATTGTAATATTGTCTAATTTTTTTTGTGTGTCTTAATGTATAAAGGTGTCATTTCAGGGTGATTCAAAATAATAATTAAACTAAAGTAGCCACGCTACTGCTTCTTACACAATAAGTTCAAAAATTAATTCCTCTCAAATTAATGTATTATTTGAGAACTATTATAAATTTTATAGGAGTATGCAACGAATAATGGGTAGTAGTCATTATTAAAATAGTATGCTCATTTAATGTTGAATATATTAAGTAGTTCATGGTTCATACTCCACAGACAGCAGTAACTGTACCTAGGGCCTCCGTGGGTTCATAAAAACAAAGACAGTGAGGTGTTTATCTTTCTATTGGCATATTAAATTATTATCTTTAAAATTAAATTCAATAAGTATCAAGATAGGAAATTGTTAGCTTTCATGAACTTTTTACCTAAGAAAAAAGAATATCTGATAACAAGTAAATAGTTTTTAGTTTAATTTCTTTTAGGCTATTATTAGAAAATTATATCGCATTAGTTAATAGCATGTTACGCAATAATCTTGATATCATATACTAGAACATAGACTGAGATTATTAAAAAAATCAATTAACATCAAAAACGGTTCGTCCTACAATCGTTTCGAGTAAGTACAGTGTATACTCTTTATAACGTTGTTCGTTATAACGGAAAACTCTCTATAACGTAGACATTAGGTACATTTGTTTGGTTTACCACAAAACCCATACATTAATTCTTTATTTTTGTATTACGTGTATAAGGAGTATTGAACTAATTACGTGTCAAATATCGTTTGAATATCCTAGACCATTTATTTGTTACCAAGATTTTTCTTATTTTACTTTCATTTAACGCAATTTTTATGTACTTTGCCAACATTTTCTCTGATATTTTAGCGTTATCAAAGTCCCTTAGAAGTTAGAAGCATGTCACTTTTATATAATAAGTACTTCAGTAATTAACCAGGGTGCGTTAAATTCATCTGAAAAGTTAAGAAATAAAAATACATTCGTGTTGATTTAGATTTTATTATTTAATTCAAATTAATATTGAAAAAAATCTCGAAGAAACGAAAGGCGCGGTCAATTAATTACAAACATAAAAACACATTATGTAAATAATTACCCTCTTATTAAAAACTAAATCCAATTACATTCTTGCCTATAGTCCTCTTTCATCTATCCTTCAAATTGTATTTACGCTGTGATGAAAACAGACAAATGAGCGCTTAAAACGGAGCAATTAGACTTAGTTACAAATAAGAAGTTACGCGACTTGACTTTTTGAACACAACGGTCTTTGAAAAAAAAAATTCCTAAATTAGAATAGAGAAAACAAATGGCCGCATTTTATAAAGGTAAAACATTTTTTTTAAATATAACCAAAGTGCCGATGTGTTCAGTACAGAAATGAAGAATAATTACAGTTAATGAAAATGATGTGATAATAAAATGTTTGGTTTTTAACAAAATAGATATATATGATGACTTTTTAATTGATCGGAATTAAATTCTGTATTTAAAAAAAAAACTAATTAAAAAATTAATATTCACATCAATATATAGATTCTATAATGATTAAAGGATTGAGCACCTAAAATATAATTCCTACAATATAAAGAATATCTAAATAGTTGCGTTTAAAAGGAGGATATTAGACAATAAAGGAATGTAATTAATTTATTTATTACTTATCCAATCCGTTAACTAAGATTCGAAAAATCGAACGCTATAGAAAAGTTCCGGTCAGCAACAAGTATTTTCTATATTGAACGCAAACTTCCAAAATGAGGGCCGACAAATTGGTACATAATCTAAATTATTTAAATGAATCGGTAGTTTCAAAAAGAATATTAGTCCAAATTTGTGTGTTTTGAGTTATTGTTGTCTATGGTACCCTTAAGGGTAGATCTATAAATCCCTAAAGAAAGAACATTAGTCCGATGAATATCAATGGAGCTCGTGGGATTGAAAATGTCAGTAGATGCAGAAACAACATTAGTCCCACTGAGGTGTGTAGAACTTTGCAGAAACAACATAAATAACGTTTCAGAAAGAACATTTGTCCCGAACTTACATTAGAAAGTTACATTCCTGATACTTACATAGAATTTTATCAAACAATGTATTTTGATTGGGCAACAACAACAGTGGATGATATGGAATAATATAATATAGGATAAGTGATAGATATAAGTTATAAAATAAAATATTCTTCCCATATTAGTTGCAGTAACAACACAAGTCCAAATATTATAAATGTAAATATTTCAAAAAATACAAGTAGTACAATAAAAAACTATAGATGTGCTACTTCAGACTAATTAATTCAATAATTTGTGAGAAAAATCTACATGACTTCAAAAGAAAATACTCTGCGAAATCAGTTTTTTATGTCTCCTGAAAAGTAAGCAGATTGTGACTAATGTTCTTTTTGAAATTACCGATTCAAATAATAACTAAAGTGAGAAAATTAGAAAACAAGGATGTCTTTTATGGATATTTCATAGGACTTCCATCCTTTGGCGATAATTATTTTTTTTCCAAAGTATTAATACAAATAATTTAATTAATTTAAAAAGGTCAAACGTCGTGTCTATCTTATTAATAAAAAAAATACATTAAGATTTAACAAATATCCACCTTTTATCAGCAAGGTACAAGCATATACAAATCAATAAATCAGACTTAATGAAAGTAATTGATATTGCAATCAATTAACTTCAAATAAAGAACAATATCATACAAACCAAACAACGCATCTTATGTCAAACAAATTTACAATAAATGATACTGCGCCACGGCAGGAGATCCCGTGAACGACGAAGAGACCACTTTAGAATATTTAAAAAATATAGTTTTTAAACGTTTCAAAGTGTGTTGAAATACGCAATTTTAGATCAATGATTTCGAGTAAGAAAGACCTACTCGTAGCAGCACTCAGGGTGAGATTCAACAACAGCGCGGTCTGACTCCCGTAAGCCAAATTCAACTTGACATACGGGTAGCCAAGTTGAGTTCTCGTTTCTGACTGTCACCCTTAGATAAGTAAATATCAATAGGTATTCAGGAAAGCACGACTGCGGTCGAGAAAATTTAGAGATAATCCAATTTAGTAGCTCCGCTTGATTCGTATTACCAATTGGTGTTATAAAAATGCTAGATTGGAAAATGCCGTCAGGCGTTACATTAAACTAAGGCAATATGAACTTAAAACTCAAGCGGGCAAATCAAAATTTGACACGTGTATTTGAGGTACGTGTGTCGCATCAATTTTCGGAGTATTTTTATGATCACATAGACCAAGCTCTTTGAGTTTCCATTCCCAACCCATAATTTGTACAGCGTGAAGTGTCTCCGCTTCAGTATGCTGTCGCCGCAACATGCCCTCCTACATAAGTTTCAGAAATTACTTGATGAACTATATTGAATTCAAATTGAGGGAAACTCATGGGACTTTTCCCGTTTGACTACATTAATTAATTATAATAAAGAGCTACAAAAATACGAGATAAGTAGAATAATAACAATACAGACACAAAGTCAAAGTTTCCTCCTTGAAATTGAAAATATATTAATAGTAAGTAATTTTTAAACATAAGCCATAGATTAATAAATTTTGCGTCGTTCGCTGATTTTGCAGCCTAGCCAATACTACACTTAATATCATTATTAATGGCCGGCACCGCACTTGCGAGCCCTCAAGGAGTGGTGAGTGTCTAAGGGCGGCAGTATCACATAACGTGAGATGTGCCTCCTGCCCGTTATATAAAAAAAAAAAAAAATTTCATTAATAACTTGTCTACATTCCAAACCAAAACTATAATATTCAGATCAAAGCCTTTATGGCTTCTAAAAGTAACATTACAAAGCTTTTGCAACAGTTAAAAAATATATAGAAAAGAGGGGCAAACGATCCTACGGGACGCCCAAAATAGGCAGTTATCGCATGGACCATACCCATTTTAGTTGGTGCGTTGCCGGCCTTTGATGGAATGGAGGGAGGAGGATTATACCTTAATCTTTTCCCATTTGTCATCTACTTCCTGCAACCACGAGTTGATCTGCCTTCCATTACATCTTGATCTCTGCGCATTTCTCTTCTCTTCTTGATCGGGCGCTAGTACATTATACACTTCTTTATCACGTAATATCGTGCAAACTGAAAACGGCAGCGCCTGAAAGAGTAGCGGGTTCGAATTACGCAAAATTATTCGCTTTTATAATCATAAAGAATTTAAATTTATACCAGCGGACGCACACGTCGTGTGCACACGTCTTAAATACAAACATTTCAAACTAAAAAAAATATCCAATTGTAAATCTAAACATTTTTCGAATCTACACAGAACTTTCATCAAAATTGGTCCAGCCGGCGGAGTTTAATTATAAACACACACGCACTGAAGATTTATATATACACACTACACAGGCTTCTAAAGTACTATTCACGTAAAGAATCTGAGGTCCATATTCTGTACTTAATTTGATAGCATTGTTTACTTCCAAAGAAAAAGGAAAATAAAATCCCATATATACCTGATTTGCAACCGCCCGTTCAGCCCGTCCATGCACCCGTAAAATTTCCTGCTCCACAGCCAAAACCAATTTTTCCTTTTCAACTTGATGCTGTACCCGTAACCGGGTTCTATATAAAATATTAAGAACAAAGCTAAGAGGTTTACACATAATGAATAGAAAAAGAAAACAACCAACCCAGGTCGTCGAAGTGTGACAGTAAATTGATACGTCAATTGTCAATGTCAATATTTTTTTATATAACAGGTACACAAGTGCACGTGGCTCATCCGATGTTAACTGATACCGCCGCTACTCACATTTCCAGAAGGCTCGCAAGTACTTTGTCGCTTTAAGAATTGGTACGCTCTTTTGACCCGTATACGCTTAACTATATAGGTCAGTTAATTAGGTGTTCAATGAGTCAGCTGTCGAAACTGTATTTTCTGCCGTGCGATGGCATTCTGATAAACAATAAACTACAAGCTCCCTCCTTATCAGAATGCCAAATCATAAAATGACTGCTTTACGACTGATTTGAGCGCGACCGCCGCTGTGAAAACCGCTGTGTGAGTTCGAAAAGTGAATTACAGAATCGCAAGGCTGTAGGAAGTGTGACATTTGACAGCTCCAAACGAACGATAACTAATTATATCTATGATATAATTAGAATATAGACCATAGTATACTCTATATTATGCAGACAGAACTTTTAAACTAAGCAGGACAAGAGTTAAATAAATAAATATAGTCCAATTGATATTTTTCAATTGTCATAGTAAATCGAACAATTCCAAATATTTACGACTTTAATTCGACAAATTTCTGTTGTCTACAATTTTTCCAGACTCTATCTCATAGCAAATCGATTGATAGTCCAAAATTCATTAAAATCAGTTCAGTAATTTTCCAGCAAAGTAATTGTATTTGAAGACAGCGGAAGTTTAAAATCCTCACCTCTCCCTCTCTTGCGACATAAACTCTGTGACCATCTGCTGTGGCATGTTAATGGGAATATCAACCTGAGGCTCCGGGTTCACGTTATTTTGAAGCGTGTAGGTGCATCTATTCATCAGGTACTTATTGAAGTCTTTGGGCGGTTTAGGTTTGACTGGAAAGAGGGTTTTTTGACGGCGCTCTATCTAAAAATACACAATATTTTCCTTTAAATTCTTGGAATTGTTATGGTATTTGACAATTCATTAAATTAGGTTTAAACAAGAATTACAATTACTAACAATCATATTATTATACTGTAAAAATGAATGCCGTCGGCCCCGTACCAAGGGTGCCGTCACCATGCGGTTAGAGGCAGTTCTAGGGAATGCAATCTCGAGTCAAGATTATAATTTCGAGATGTCGTCGTTTTTAAAATTACAATCTCGCGAGATCTCGCGGAATCCTAGTTATTTAGGTGTGATTTTGGAATAGCTTCTTAAGAAGCTAAGAGTATCGAGAGTGCTGTCAGTCGCTATGTACCCAGCAGCTGAAATTCCCTCTGAGACTCATCACTGGTTCGCACCAGCGTGAGTGACCTATTATAAATGAAATGTAAAAAAGCAAACAGCAGTGGATGCATTTAAAAGAGTATCTAACGATATAATCGTTTGATTATAATTTTATTTTTCCGTACAGGCAATGAGTTGGACCAATTGGTCCAACTTATCTTTATAATTACAGGGATTTTCAAATGCGGTTGCATTATTCTACGCTCAGAGATACGCTTGTTCATCGAAGAAATTAACTTTTCTGATACTACACCTAGTTAATCTCGTTAACCCTACGAGATCTCGTCATATTAAGCTCCGGGATTAATCTCGAAAAATCGCACGAGATCTCGCGAGATCGAGATTGCATTCCTTAGCCATAGTTCCCACGTACTTTAATTATATAAAAGTATATATTCAAATAAGAATAAATATAAAAATGCTTGAATATTTTAACACCTATTAACCTCTACACTTATTTATACTTACCGATAAAGACGTATTAACTAACACATTCTTTAACATAATCAGTGTGTATGACATTCGTTTAAAATAAATTGAAATTATTTTAACAAATACTACTAAAGAAGTTAATTAAATGTAAAGCCCGTAAAGTTGAATTTGATTTAATGGCAAAATATACGTAGTTGGTCCCAAAGTTCTGTCACTAGCACATTATTTCTACATTTCGAGCAGGATTTTATAAAAAATTATTGCATTCTATTTTGGAATGTTTGATTATTGTTTTAAAACAAAAAACAATAACTTTCCGTAATTTTTCACGATGGAGTGGACATTGAAAGTAAACCGAATAGTTGTTATTGCGTTGCACCGCTGTGGACACTCGCCGAGTACCATTTTCAAGTTGCTCAAAAATTTGAATATAACACTTAGGTTTGTGTACGGTACTATTGATAGGTACCTTGAAGTCTCCAGTGTTGAGGACAAGAAAAGAACTGGCTGGCCACGCTCCGCAAGAACACCAGCAGTAATCAAAGCTATCAAGGCGCGGATAGTAAGAAATTCTGTCCGAAAACAGAAGTTGATGGATTTGCAGATGGGTGTCAGTAGGAAAACAGTAAAAAAGGTTTTAAATGAAGATCTTGGTCTACGAGCATACAAAAAAAGAGTGGGCACTTACTTAATGCTCGTCTAAAAGCAATAAGGCTTAAGAGATCGCGGGTGTTGTTTAAGCGGTACGCGAAAAACCGACACCGTGATATCCTCTTTACGGACGAAAAATTTTTCGATATTGAAGAGAAGTTCAATAAACAGAATTATACAGTGTACGCTAGGAGTTCTGAAGAAGCTGAAAATAAAGTTCCAAGGGTGCAACATGGACATCATCCATCATCAGTAATGGTTTGGTTGGGAGTGTCCTATTACGGGCTAACTGAGGTTAATTTTTTCGAAAAGGGGGTCAAAACCAGTGCTACAGTGTACCAAGAGACGGTTTTGTATCGCCTTGTCAAAGACATGTCCAGCACCCTATTTGCGGGACATCACTTCGTGTTCCAGCAGGACTCTGCGTCTGCATACAAAGCCAAGACCACTAAAGCCTGGTTTGAGCGTCAAAACATCGTCTTAATTAGACATGAGGATTGGCCTTCCTCCAGTCCGGACCTTAATCCTTTGGACCAGAATTTATGACAGGGCTTAGAGAGGAAGGTCTGTGATAAACCTCATGAAAATTTGGAGAATCTGAAGTCATCTTTAAAAAAACCAGTGACTGAAATCGACACGAATATGGTGCGTGCTGCGATAGACGACTGGCCGCGACGCTTAAGTGCCTGTATTAAAAATGAGGGAGGTTATTTCGAATATTTTTATGCTTTTTTTATTCCTTAATTAATGTACTAGGAATTGATATATCACTCATTACAAACTGATCAGTACTTTTGTTTTTATCATTATTTCCATTTATGACAGAACTTTGGGACCGACTACGTATTACTGTTTTAAGTTAAGACACGTTTATCGGAAATTAAAATATAGCCCATATATTAATAGTTTAAGTAGTACTATAACTCGGTGGCTTTCCTCTATTAGACAGCTTCATCGGTCACTGTTTCATTACATAACAAAACATACCTGTTTCCTTTTGTGTATGTACATTTGATAGGGATTGGAATGCGTAACATTATGGGCGATATTTTCAGAATGTTCGGACTTAGTCGGCTCCCTTGAGTGGCTCTCTTTAGAGGCTTTGATCTTTCTCTTCCTTGGGTGGACGTCGGCCGAATGTCCCGCAGTAGCTGTACACATAAAAACACAGTGAACAATCGCCCTCTTAAATAATGGCAACACCAACAACAAAATATTAAACACCAATAACAGAAAGAGCATTCACTAAAACATTTAGGATACGAACATAATGATAGAGCTCCCGCGCCCCGTTTCTAATGACATTACGCACAGCTCGAATGAAAAGCTTGCTGAAGCTCGGGGAACGATCATTCAACACAGATTCATTCAAACACATAAGGGATGGCGATTTTCCATTTCTAAAGCGTTTGCAAATGCGAAATGGTAAATCATGACACAGGCTCAAGGGAAGAGTAGGTAAGTGCGTGGTGCTGCAATGTCATTATACGAATCGAAAAACTCCAGGGCTCGGTAGCTGATGGTACACGTAAGTCCCTCGAGGACATGCAGAATGCAAAATTATGACCAACCATTGAGGAACGTATCGTATGACACATATAACAGAGAGACAGCGGAAGTACAGATAATATTATTAATATATTACAAGAGTGTCCTCTTTTCTTTGCAGACTTATTGTGAGTACTGCGGCGACCTCTGCCCCCCGGTCCGTCTTCGTATGTGCGTGCACATAATACATGTTATTTAATAAATGGAATATAACAATAGGCAAGCTAATTAGGGCTACCAGTTTATTTAGTCAAACAGGTGGCACCCGAATTCACGTCCAAACATCATTTACTTCACATCAAAACATCGAACAATATTTTTGAAAAATCGACACATTTAGGGGGCAGGGCAATCTCTAGAAATATTAATATTAAAATGTACTCAAATTTTGTATAAGATATGGGAACTCTTTAAAGATTCTACTGTTTTCAAAGGTATTCAGAGACATTGTACAACCACAGTAATGATTCAAATATATATGGGTCATGGGAATGCTTAACTGTTATTGACTTAATGTGAGCGAGATCATAATTCTTGCAAAGATTTCTGATAAAGATTGCCTTCTGACAACCCCAATTGGTAGCCCTCATTAGATAAAACATTCAATTCGAAAGTAAAAGATGGAAAATAGCCAAAGAAATCTTTACAGAAGATGAAAATCATTAATTGCATCAAATCTAACAAGTTTGCGAGATGTGATACATAAACAAAACAAAACCACTTTAAGCTACATTTCAAAGAAAAGAAATAATGGAAGAACAGAGAAATATATAATAATGAATTACAAGATTGGCGTGTGCTCTTTGGAGACTTTAAGGGAGAATGATAGCGCCGGCCTCTGCTTCCTGGTCCGTCTTCGCATATGTGCGTGCACATATCAATTACAAACACGATGTTAAACATACAATCTAGATTAGTAAAAACATTACCGCTTAGAAAAACATCATACAATCACATTAAGCCATGACTATTTCTTTTCTTTTAATATATGGCGTATAATGGGGACAAAATGTCGGATTTAATTAATATTAAATGGGTCGAAAACGTAAATTCAGGACATAGGGCTTTTTAAATATTTCTTGTTTTCTCCCCTTTACACATGTTAATCGGTTATGAGACAATGGTTCAAAGTTAATCTTTTAGTATATTATTGAAAAATATTCTTGATGTTTTTCTATAGCGCGATATAAATTACCTGATTCGTTTCTCCCACCTGAGTTTCCAGATGTTGACGGCGCATCATCAGCCCCCTGAAATTGTCTCGCATTAAAACTATGAAACCTAACACTTAATAAAACCAGTGCAAATTAAGTAAAAATAAAAGACATTTATGATAAATAAAATACATGCAGACAAATAATATGCGTAGATAGAAAAAGGCCCTTAAAATTCGGTGACGTCTAGCTAACGAATACTTACTGGAAGTGGGTTTTTATGGGAACTCAGAATTTGGTTAGATCCCGATCGGTCTGAGCTTTGCGGGCAATTTCCTTTATCTTTGTCGGCGTCGTTCGTTCTATGCGAACGCAGTACTCTTTGCCCGCCCTATAACAAACTCCACTTAAACGCACCGTTACCGACAAATCTATCTACGGTTTAAATGTTCTTTTACTTTTACTTTTGTACGTCAAATTATAATAATTTGATGAACGTATGGTACAATATTTGCACTCGTTTCGTCGATTTTTATTGTCATTTCAACTATATTGTACCACGAGCACGAGTGTATGTTGAGCACTACAAGCCATCTGAGTAAGTAAAAATAAAATAAAATTGAAAATAAATAAAATTTACAATAAATTGAAATCTTCGATTTGCAGACGGTTCAAAACACTCAACACTCCAGATGCTTATAAATTCCATGTAATGTAGGTCAGTACATAAATGCATAAAAATTTAAATAAATCACAATATAAAGGCAAATAACGTTAACAGGAAATAATAAACATTACTGAATGCATGATGCATCTGTTGCGCTCCACCTATACTAGGTATATAAATTATATAATACATACGAATTTATTAAGACGACTATTAACAATTAATTAAATACAAGTTAATTGTATATTTAGGCTTGCGAGCAGGAGTGCTAAATTTTATAAGTGTTGTATGTTTGTCCACAAATTTCTCGAAAACTAACTTATCCAGATGATCCAGTTAAATAATTTTTATTCCAATCAAGGAAACAGTCCATATACCAAAATCGGTTCAGTTGCTGATATTTTTGAACAAAAAAATCGTTGATATATTTCCCTCTTCAGTTGATTGGAATCTGAAGTCGATTAAACATTCTCAAAATTATTATGTCCATTGAAATTAACATTTTAGTATTGACAAAATTAATTCAATATTGGCTTAATTTTTATACTAATGAATTAATTATCTTTATCTAACTAAAAGGAGAAAAAAACAGGTAATTTAAAAAAAAACAGTTGGAGATTCACTGCTGTGAGTTATTCATTTGTGTATGTATGAAACAAACAAAAACTTTACCAATAGAAAATATGTCTCGAATTTATTCCTTTTCATCTAACTTCGGTTATCTAAATACTTCTCGCCAAACAGACTACTTTTTACTTCACAGAGAAAATAAAATAAAGGGATACTGAAGAACTTTTGGTCATATTAAACATCATACATTGCCTTGGATGCTATATATAGAAATAATGAACATAATTTAAAAAGAACCAACCTTGCATTCCACTCGCTTGTCATCTGAATTTCCATCAGAACTGTCTGATGTTTGCGCTGTGTCCGTAGTACATGGTATTACATAAGGTAATGTTGATGCACTACCACGCCCCTTTCCTCCTCCACGCTGTACGCCTTTAAAACACATGTAAAACTAAATTTAAAAATTTATAATAAAATTATTTTTATCATAAAAATTTTAAAAACACAATTACTATAAAATGAGCATCATAATATATCATATCAATAATTTCTAAATTCTGTGTCATTCAGAAAATCTCTTAAAAATAAGCAATATATACAGAGTGTCCCAAAAGTCGACGTCAAGTCGAAATTTTCTCATAGGTAATGCCACACCAGTTATCAGAAAAATTAAAAAAAAAAAGTCATGTATTTTTGAAGTTATGGAAATTTTTTTGTTATTCCAGAAAATGCACACCATGTGACAGTTTTTTCATTCCTGTTGTTACAAATATTTACTTTTTGCCATTTTTTTTCTCTTAAGTCATCCCGAATAGTGTTTTATGTAACCTATGATCCTAAACTCTGTGCTGATCACTCCAACTTTTAGGAAAATGTCATTTTATACCGTACCAAGTTTTCAAAATTAATTTTCGCACTACTTCATTAGCACTAGCGCATTTAATAAGGATTCTACAGTGGTATAACACTGAGTCCATTATTTCTTAGATCGGCCATAAGAATTTTTTTTGTTAAACAAAGTCTGTTTTTAACAATCTCTTTGAAATTACAACAAATGATTCTAGCGCACCCAAAACGTTCCTAATGACCACCGCGTGGTTTAAATAAGATGGAGAGAGACATTCCATAAAATGTGAGCGAGACAGATAGTGACGCTTATGACATACGGACGCAAATAAGTAAAATAGACAGTTTCTTTTTTATGATTAGATTTATTACTTTTTTTATAAAAGATGTTCAAATTGCCGTCCTTCAACTGCAATGCAGGTTCGAAATCTCCTTAAAAAAGATCGTGAAATGAAGCGGGCAAATCGTCCATTATTCACAAATTCTACTGCTTCCGCTATTCTCTGTCTAAGCTCTTCTACATTTTGCATCGACTTGGAATAGACTTTTTCCTTTACTGCTCCCCAGTAAAAAAAATCAAGAGGATTTAAATCGGGTGAGCGGGCGGGCCACGAGATTGTACCACCCCGCCCTATCCATCTGTCTGGATACTCCTCGTTAAGGTGGTTTCGAACTAAGCGGCTGTAATGCGCTGGACAACCATCTTGCTGGAACCACATATCTCGTAAAATAGTAAGCGGCACGTCCTCCAGCAAATTGGGCAAATGATTTTGTAAGAAATCTAAATAAATTTCAGCATTTAAAACTTCTGGTAACTCAAAAGGCCCTATGACTTTTCCGTTCAAAATTCCAGTCCACATGTTAACTTTGAAACGGTACTGTGATCTGTCTGGTCTCATCAATCGTGGATATTCGACGTGCCACTCGTGCAGATTGTGTAGGTTCATGTAGCCGTCTTTTTTAAAAGTTGATTCATCCGACCATACAATTTTTTCTAAGAATTGTGGGTCTTCTCGGTGTTTTTGAATTATTGTTTGGCAAAAAGCAACCCGAGGTTCATAATCTCGAGGTAATAAGGATTGTACTCGCTGTACATGAAATGGATGGAACTCATTTTTTTGTAGTATTCGGTGAGCTGTACTTTTGGGCACACCTGTGCTGGCCTCAATTCCACGTACCGAACAACTTGGGTCCTCATCAACTGCTTGAAGGACAACTGCCTCGTAGGGTAGTGAAATTCTACCTTCACCGTGCACTTGGGTTGGCAGTCGGCCCTCAGAGAACAGTAGACGGTGCACATTGGTAAAAACTCTGTGATCCGGATAGCGATCTGCATTAGGGTATCTCTCGCGATACCGTCTAGCGGCTTCACTGGCATTGCATAAACATTCCCCATAAATGAGGTGCATGTTAGCATATTCCTGTGTAGTGTACGTAGCCATGGTATGGTACAAATACACAATAACACGTAAGTCCAGGGAAAAGTAAAGGTCGTCGTAGATCACAAATGTAAAATCCAAATCACAAGCAAACAAGTCCGTAAACGATGCCAAAGTAGTTAGAACACAAAATAACACCAGCGAATATGAAAAGATGCGTAGTAAACGAAGGAGCGTTGCGTACTGACCTGTAGTGCGTGTGTCAATAGCAATAAGTAGCGTCACTATCTGTCTCGCTCACACTTTACGCCATCTTATTTAAACCACGCTGTGGTTATTAGGAACGCTTTGGGTACACTAGAATAGTTTTTTGTAATTCCAGAGAAATTTTTAAAAACAGACTTTGTTTAACAAAAATTTTTTTTATGGCCGATCTAAGAAATAATGAAGTAAGTGTTACACCACGTTAGAATCCTTATTAAATGCGCGAACTTTTAAAGCTGCTTGCCAAACTGGAGTAGTACATTTTTTTTTCAGGGCGATCAGTTGAACTAGTGCGAAAAATTAATTTTGAAAACTTGGTACGGTATAAAATGACATTTTCCTACAAGTTGGAGAGATCGGCACAGGGTTTAGGATCATAGGTTACATAAAGCACTATTCGGGATGACGTAAGAGAAAAAAAATTGGCAAAAAGTAAATATTTGTAACAACAGGAATGAAAAAACTGTCACATAGTGTACATTTTCTGGAATAAAAGGAAAATTTCCATAACTTCAAAAATACATGACTTAATTTTTTTTTAATTTTTCTGATAACTGGTGTGGCATTACCTATGAGAAAATATCGACTTGACGTCGACTTTTGGGACAACCTGTATATATATGTGCGTGTGTGTGTTATAAGTTATTTACAAAATTTAAACCAACATTATATTATACTAAATTATTTACCTAGGTATTTTATATTATACTAGAAATGGGATATATATCTCATATTTTTATTGCTGATGATTAAGAACAACCTGCGAACATAAGACCCGTATTCTCAAAACGCACGTAAATCAAACTTATACCTAGTCAATAGCTGTAAAACCATTTCCTCTGTAATCATAAAGTTTAACAAATTTGACGGCACTTAAGACAACATTGAGATTTGAGACACAAATATACAGAGTGAAACAACATATTATATTCAATGTAAGGAAATTGCCTACTAGTCTAAAATAATCAAAAATATACAATCTGAGGGCATACAGAGTTATAGCTTATAGCATTTTGATTAGTACAAAAAACATACCTTCTTCCTGTTCATTCCTATTTCCAGAACCACCAGCTCCACCAGGAATAACTATCTTCAAAGGTGGAACTTTTGGTGCCATTGCTTCTTGTGGTTTCTCTTCACTTTCCCCATCATCCTTACTTTGGCCGGGTTTAGGACTTGCTACAGGACTCCTACGGTCTTGCTTTCCACTATGCAGACCAGTTTTACCGGAGCCTGTTTTCCCCTGAAATAAATAATAAAGGTTAAAACGTCTTAAATAAAAGGTAAACACTGTTATATTATGTGGCACAGACACAAAGGTATTATATTTCTGTGTCGTTTTCATAGATAATTTTTTACGTTATTTATTTGGATTGCGTTTAAGTTATTATTATAACAAAGTATAACTCAGCTTTTTTATAGTTATACTAACTATTAATACATCCGCAATCATTTGACCCTTGGACATCATAAATGCGCTTCAGATCATACTTTTGTGATTACCGATTATTTGCGACATATATATTCATTTTAATCTTATTAATTGTTAAATTATAAATAAATGATATTGACTTTGTTCACAATTAAGTTTCTATCAAACTATTTACTTGGATAGCAATTCATTTCATGTTTAAAAAAATAACCTTGCAAAATTATTACCTTATCATATACTATTTTTACATAGCCTTACAGCGAAACGAAATACTTTAAAAAATTCTAACCAGTAGTTCTTTAGATTAGCGGGTTAAATTAATTAATATTAATACAAAATCAACATTATTGAAAGACTTTAAAAAAATACTAGAGCATCAATTTCTTCCAGCAATGTGCAACAGAATTGACTCTTGAAAGTGTAAATATCTAAGTTGCTATATTACCTTATTCCCTGAAGCCCCTTTGCCTGTAGCTTGAGCCTTCCCAGTAGACGAAGTGGCAGCACTTTTGTTAACGTTGGGCGAAGCGCCGCCTTTACTTAGCGGCACCGCGCCCGTCTTGCTTGCAGGCCCAGGCTTACTGTCAGTTAATAGTATGTTAAAACATATTTCACAAAACGCAATACACCCCATTTTATGCCCGTTTACCATCTCTGTAGATTAATTTCAGATTGGGTCTAAATGATTCAATAGCATTGAATCATTATTTAAAGTGTGAAAGCACTTACAAAGTTTGAACACAGGATTTTAACCAATTTTGAATAGTGTTTTTAGTAATGGCCTTGGCATACTCTTAGCAGATAACAATCTAGAAAAGATAAATACAGTTTAAACTTTATATGCTGACTCAGAAACAGCAATTACTGACGTTTAAGAGTTGTAATGAAAGGAAAAGAAATGTTTTATGTGGACAAATCAAACCAGGCAGAGTTGGATGTTAAATCAATTTACATGGAGTTTACACTGTAATTGATTATAACTACCCACAGTTAGATACTTACCGCCCAGTCCCAGTCCTAGCTACAGGTGCAGGCTTAGCCATCGGCTCCTTTTCTTCAGTCTCTTTACGCTTCTTCCGCTTAGAAACGTCATCCTCGGGTGTGTCAGCTTCTTGACTTTCTTCATAATTTCCTTTCTTACTACTTATGTTAGTGTCATCCTGTGTGGATGACACTACTCCGCTACTCAACTGAGAACCTTCTGAAAATTATTTGATATGAAATCACATCACACAACTGGTCTGCTCTAGCAAGAACCTAGAGAGTTTTAATTTCAGACAATTTTTAAACAACCTGAAAACAAAACTTGTCTAGGTTTCAGTAGAAACTAGGTGAACATAGTCTAATTATATATGTATGCATATTATTCCATAATAAATAATGACAAAGACGTGTGCAAGAACATTAGGTACAATTAAAATATACGGTATGAACTACCATCTTTAATTTCTGCATTGCCTTTCTCTTGTGGGGTGGCCTCTTTTCCTTCAATTTCACCCTGTGCTAGGCCCTCCATGTTGGTTCTTTTACTGCCTTCACTGTTTGTACTTGCATTGCCACTTTTCTTGTTGCTGTCATCCCTTGTTCTTGCAATATGAGAAGCTCTCGCGTTATTATCTGCAGCAATAAAATAATATGTTCTAAGTAAAAAATTTAAGCTACATTATAGATTTACATGTAAATGTTTTACTGAATTCAGATTTATTTTAAATCTAGTTGAATTCTAATTAAAATAGTTTTAATGTTTTTATTTAACACTATCTACTGGGTTTAATGTTTCTACCAGGTAATAAGCCCAGCATCAACTTTCAAACTTCAACTAAACTTATATTTTTAAATGAAGAACTAGTAACACAATCAAAGAATAATTTACTAAGGCAAAACTTTAATTTAACTTTAATGTTTTTATTATTTTTACTTTTTTTTCTATTTGATCTCAAGTATAATACATAAAATTAAGTAGATGTTACAGTAGTAGATATCAAACTTAATTGTATGTTATTAACACTGCTATTTTATCAATATATCATTAACATAGTTTAAACTTTAATGATCATCTATTTTGTTTTCACAAATAACTAAGCATAATGAGTTTTAAATACCAATTCTGCTTTTAAAATAACATATAAGCTAATAAATCTTTAGTAAAATAGTAGTCAAAATGTAGTATACAACTAAGGTTGCGTTTAGTAGGGTCAAAAAAATATACTTAATGCTAATATTTGCAATGTTTACAGTGATTAGACAAACAAGTGTGGAAATCACCTCATATGAGGCGGTTTCCTTAGCATATGATATGCTATATCTACAGAATTGTCTCAATCAATTCCTTCTTTTAGAGGGCAAATAAGGCAGAGAATAAATTAGTGAAGTAGAAATTTTAATGGTACTATTTGAAGGTGTATTACTAAGAATAATTTTGTGCTATTTTGTTTAAGTTACTTCTTTTGTTTTTATTAAAATCACAGACATTGATTACATACAAAATATCAATTTAATGTAAAAGAGGCTAAGATGATAGGACTTGATACATATTTACTAGCTATTATTACTTCAGTAAGATAAGCTGTTGACACATGAAATTATTATCAGTTTGAACTTTTTATTTAACTTGCATTCAAACATTACATACACACTTTACAAATTGTCCCATATCTGTAAAACCAAATGTGTGAAGGACTTACTATTTTAAAGAAAGAACATAAGTAGCATATAAGGTACTTACCTCAGTATTAGCACGATTTAATATTCATTAGTGAATCAGTAACCTAAATAAAACTTTTGGACAGCTATGCCAATTTGAAATTTCCTAAATTATTACAACTACAGGTTATAATCAGTTATGTTGCAGATGAATCGATTTGAAATAAACGTAAATCTCTAACTAATATTCTATTGTCTTTTATATTAACTTTTACAATCAATTAGATGCTTGTTAATATCAACGTAACGTAATAATTGTATCAAGTCGCAAAATCTACCATAACAGTTTTACATAGAATGCAATGGACGAAACTATTTTGCATGAATCTGCACAGTTATATTAATACGTAGGTTGGTTACTGTTAACAGTTTACATGGGAGTCGCAAAAATAAAGTTAAAGCAGCGTGCACTTTAAAACTTGCTACTAATGACCAAAACTATCGACTCCCCTTTATTGTGCGAGAGCGCTCTCCTTTGCATTTCACGATGGCGGACACTTTGAATAGTTATCTCCGGCCGCGGTCAAAAAATTCACATCAATTTTGCTTAATCAGTCTTTACTAATCCACCACCACGAAATTGACGTTACTAAGCGGCCATGTCGACAGGCCGTCGGGCGACTGCCGACAATATATAATATTACTGCAACACGCCCCAATACGTTCCATTTCAGGCATGCGTCGGAGGTTACGAATGTGTTATTTTATATAAGACATATTAAAAAACACACATTTACTCATGAATAGAAAAAAAGTATGTTTTGTTAACAAAAACCGACAAAATCCCAATAATATAAAATACTTTTACAATTCAAAGACAATCGAAAGCATCGTTTTTTATTTCCAACATGCGTCCGTATGACGGAACGTTATAGCGTCAACAATAAAGTACAAGTTTCAATAATATTCTGTGACGTTAAAGTCATAAGCGTCACTGTCAATTGCGCTATATGGTTGAGCTACGTGGAAGTGGTGCGTATTTTAATACAGGAATTTTGCCGTAAATGGAAATGACGGAGGGGTTGTTTATCTTTCATTTTTTTAGCTTTGTCGACTGAGAAATATAATAGTACATACCAAATGACGGAAATATCGGTACACCTTGCAGGAGGCATATAATTTATTTGTAACATAATAAGCTTAAACAATTAATGTTAATATTTAATAAAAGTACAAATAAACAGTTTAAAGGATCTGGCTATGACTTCGTTTACGTAAAATAGTATAGCTTCAATCAATGAAATTTTCCAATGAAGTATTCAAATTTTTATAAATTAATAAAAAAACACCATATTACGTTGTTAACTCATTGATTCAATAATTATATAGATTAAGCATCATGTCCGTAAAATGACTGCCCAGATGAGCCCAGTTGTAATGCTCTTATATTATTTTTCTTTATATATATATATATTTCTATTGTCATGCCATATTGATTGTGTCACTTCAATGTCATGACATGAATGCGTTCCAGTTAATATACATGTTTTTATGTTTCTCTGTTTAAAGACTTTAATAATAAAGTAATCTTAGTGGATCAATATGATAGTAAGGTCTACCTTGCTTATAGGAGTAACATATTGTAATATTACAAAATTTACTGGTCTACTGCTTAAGTGTATGTATGTTACACGTTAAGTATGTTTTAAGTGGATTAAATCTGGACTGTTAATTTTTATTGAATAATTTCATTACAATGAAACTTATTGTAATTAACAATATGTTTTAATTTTTACTGTTTATAATAATTATAAGTATTTTGTTAATTTGATGGAATAAAGATAAATATAATTTACTAATGTGTTTTGAAAATTGTTAGAACTAATAAAGAAGAGTTTTTACATCCTACCTATGTTTAACTAAAATCACACCTTAAAATCATAAATTTCTTATTTTTTTTAATAAAAAATAATTCATTTCAATTCAAATTATACATTATTTACCATTTTTATTTTGGAAATTTAAATATAACATATATTTAAATTTCCATATATTAACTGAAAAGAATGTAATTTGTTCCTATTGTTAATTATATTTCTAATACTTAATAACAAAAAAATAATTTTATCAGAAGATATCTGTTGTGTTGAAGCAGATGCTTCCTAGCAGAGCACAACATAGACTGTGCTTGATTTTATGATTTAGGGAGCTCTGTAGTTTTTGGTGTTTAAAGGATCTGGCTATGACTTCGTTTACGTAAAATAGTATAGCTTCAATCAATGAAATTTTCCAATGAAGTATTCAAATTTTTATAAATTAATAAAAAAACACCATATTACGTTGTTAACTCATTGATTCAATAATTATATAGATTAAGCATCATGTCCGTAAAATGACTGCCCAGATGAGCCCAGTTGTAATGCTCTTATATTATTTTTCTTTATATATATATATATATTTCTATTGTCATGCCATATTGATTGTGTCACTTCAATGTCATGACATGAATGCGTTCCAGTTAATATACATGTTTTTATGTTTCTCTGTTTAAAGACTTTAATAATAAAGTAATCTTAGTGGATCAATATGATAGTAAGGTCTACCTTGCTTATAGGAGTAACATATTGTAATATTACAAAATTTACTGGTCTACTGCTTAAGTGTATGTATGTTACACGTTAAGTATGTTTTAAGTGGATTAAATCTGGACTGTTAATTTTTATTGAATAATTTCATTACAATGAAACTTATTGTAATTAACAATATGTTTTAATTTTTACTGTTTATAATAATTATAAGTATTTTGTTAATTTGATGGAATAAAGATAAATATAATTTACTAATGTGTTTTGAAAATTGTTAGAACTAATAAAGAAGAGTTTTTACATCCTACCTATGTTTAACTAAAATCACACCTTAAAATCATAAATTTCTTATTTTTTTAATAAAAAATAATTCATTTCAATTCAAATTATACATTATTTACCATTTTTATTTTGGAAATTTAAATATAACATATATTTAAATTTCCATATATTAACTGAAAAGAATGTAATTTGTTCCTATTGTTAATTATATTTCTAATACTTAATAACAAAAAAATAATTTTATCAGAAGATATCTGTTGTGTTGAAGCAGATGCTTCCTAGCAGAGCACAACATAGACTGTGCTTGATTTTATGATTTAGGGAGCTCTGTAGTTTTTGGTGTACATGCTTTATTATAGTCAGTGTTTTTTAATTAAGATGTGTCTAGTTATAATTTGAAGTGATTTTGTAACCACAAGCAAATAAGATTTTTTTTGTCAAGAATATCACACAAGTCCCTCAAAATTATACCAATATGATTCTATTTATATTTAACTATGATGTTTTGCACCACTAAGGACCATTTAAATATTAAAATAGCTTTATATAGCCCATATATATTTAACAACTTCCTATATGTTATTACACTATTTAATTATTATGAATAATTGACCAGTGGCAAGATTGGATACACTACACAAAACACAGAAAACTATTAAAATTTATTAAACTAATTATGTTTTATTGATGCTGTACATCACATTCAACAGCAAAGTAAACATATCAGTACTTATAAAGTACAAATAAATTAAAATTCTAAAGAGACTGCAATATTTTATAAAGTGAAGAGCAGCTGAAAACCTTAAAAATAATATTGTAATTGAAAACTAAGATATTTTCTATAATTATTGGCCTTAGACAATTGACCTTACAAATTTGTCTTTGATGGTTTTATTTGTATGCATAATGAGCACTGATTATTACAATTAATCTATAGTAAAATAAAAATTGCAAAAAAAATAAAAAACTTACCTTTCAAGGATAGTATATAGTCGTAGATGTGTGGAGCTGCATAATCTGATGGGGCTTTTCCTTTAGTGTTTTTTACGAAAGGCTCTGCACTATGCTCAATAAGAAATTTAACCATCTCTAGGTTGCCTGAAGTGGCAGCATCATGAAGAGGAGTATCATCATCTAATCCCTTTGCATTCACATTAGCCCCACCATTTACTAGTACCACTACTACTTGCAACCAACCATAACTACATGCTTCATGTAAAGGTGTCCATCCTTTAAGTTAAGGGAGGGAAAAACAAATACAAAACAAGATTAGACATAATATGCAAAAAAAACATACCAAAAATAAAAGTAAATAGAACAACAACTTAACATATAACAGAGAATATACTATATGTGATTTAAGTATTACAACATTCATGCATACTTGGTTATGGTCTCTAAGAACAACAAGAAGTTTGACTTTATAATAAGTTTACCTTAATACCTTAACACAAAATACTTCTACTAATGTAAAGTAACATATACGGGCTATACAAAGAAAGTAAATCAATACCTTGTTCATATAGTGGTTTATATTATAAGCCCACTCCGCTATTTATGATGTCATATTTATAAACATTATTTTATATATATAATATAAATATCATAACCATGTAGTGAATTTTTTTGTAGATAATAAGCTATGTGTAAGTCTATCTTTATTTCAAACAGATGTCTCTAGTGTTTGATTTAAGCACACTTAAAAACATTCACTAGTATATTCTATTATATATACCTATAATACTCACTGTAGTATAATGTATACATACAAACAATACATATTTAATAATAAATATATTAAAAACCTAAGGTTTAAAATCCAGATACCATAAATATAATAAATGTGTTATGGAAGTTCCAATGTTTATCTAAATAACCATTAACAATTATCCTATACTTCAATAGCAGCTGGTGCTATATCCACATGTAGTTCCTAAGTAATTATATATTTACTCGAGTAAATTTATTAAAATAGTAATTATATCAGATTTTGGTCAATTTTTTTATCAAATTTTTTGTAATATCCACATTATAAAATATATAAAAATATACATTTTCATTCAGGATATTTAACACTTCATTACCTTTTCCAATAAGTATAATATTAAAAAGTATAGCTTTATGATGTTAGGGGCCTAATATGTAATTCATCAAAAAATATTAAAGCTAAGTTTAAAGAATAAAATAAAATAATTCCTAGTACTTCTCAGTTACAAATATGAGTAAGCAATTTTTATGTTTAGATTGAATCAAACCACATATTAAATTTCAAGTTATTGTTAGCCTTATACCTATTATAGTGTACATACCTGCAAAATCTGTCACATCAGGGTCTTGTCCTTGTTCTAGTAATTTTTTGACCTGGTCATGATCCCCTCTTATAGCTGCAACATGGAGGGGGGTTTCTCCACGTTCATTTCGTTGTTGTCTTGTCCGTTTTCGTTCTTCTGCTGGGGTCGGAGCGGCTGCAAAAGAAAATGGCGGGAAGTCAATTTATGACAATATGACATCTTTAAAAAGGAGAATATTGATTTTATACCTGGAGGAGCATCTTGTGACGATATTTGCATCACAAGAGCCAGTTGTTGCCGCTCCGACATAGGCGCTATGACCTGCGTCCGTGGCGCGGCGTCACTGGCTCGTCCGGAGCCCCGCGACCGCGAGGTCGAAGGCATGCTTCGAGCATAACCACTCGCCTATACACAATAAATTAACTTAGAATACAATTTGATACAAAATCTTCTAAAAGCACTCAGTTTAAGGCGCCAATACCGAAAATTACATGAACTGTAATGGCTCGTCTACGAACCTTTCTTTTAACCCCAACCAGAATTAATTTATTTCAAAACAATAACACAAATAAAAAGGCTTCGGTGCTTTTACAAATTAACACAACTTAATGCAAAACATTCTATAATTCCATAAAAATTATAACGTCTCAACTATAGTATGAGTATCAACAGTATCGAGACGTCATTCCAGAATAAAGAGAACAGACTACACAGACTTGAAAAAATATTAGTCTTTACAGTTTAGGAAGATTTTAGATCAATAATACAGTCTCTTGCGTGACCACAGCATTAATATTTTATTATACTGCTCATATTAATTCACTATAAAAATAAATTATTGTAAGTTACTTAATGTCCATATTAGTAGTGAATTTTACAGGACGATCTCACAATAACTACTCAGCCACATTTTTCAATGTTTATGAGTTTTCGAAATTTCATTGATGATCTGTGCTATATTTGAAGTTTAGATTCCAATCTTCAATTGATTAATTTAAATATAACATTTATAAATTATTAATGCATTATATTTGAGTAGACTATCATATCCATTATTATTTTATAATTAATTTAGGGGATCTATGTAATAGCATGTGGCGGCCAACCTTGACGATTTTCCGTAAGGTAATCTTACCTTCTCTGAAAGAAAACACATTTTCCAAAGTCTTATATTCAACTAAAACCAAGCTCCCTAAATCAACGGCAAAATTAACATTGGTGAGCGCTAGTGTTGGAATATTGATAGGTGCCGGCTATGGAGGTTACACACATTACAAAGTAAATGTTAACAAACGAAATAATGTCATTGAAACTGATGAATATGCCTTTTTAAAAGAAGCACCAGAATACAAAGCTCATTACAAGGTAAATTATTTCAGACTTAATTCTTTAATATTGATGTTACTTGGTAAATAGTCTAATACTTTTCATATTTGCAGGTTTTGAATGAGACAGACTTTAGCAATTTACAACTTATTTTGTTTCAATATCGTACATGCCCATTTTGTTGCAAAGTAAGAACATATTTGGATGCTAAAGGAATCAGCTATGAAGTTGTTGAAGTTGATGCTGTTCTCCGACAAGCAATAAAATGGTCAGGTTATAAGAAAGTGCCTATTTTATTAGCAAAAGTAGAAGATGGTTATCAGGTATGCTATTCATGAAATGTATGTTAGAGACACATTCAATATTATTTATGTGTATTTGACTTTAAATATAAGTAGCCTGTTTTTAACTGTTAAACACTGTCTATATATTGATCTGTATAATATGGTGTGGTCAGTTTTAGTTATATTTTATAGCTATACTTTATAAAATGATGGCCAAATCATGGACTAACCAGATCTTACATCTGGATTTAATTGGTTTTTACTTTTTAGCAATTACTTGATAGTACTGCAATTATATCTGTCCTTGAAACATATCTCCGGGATAAATCAATGCAGTTAAGAGACATCATAAAATATTATCCCACAACCCGGTATACCAATGATTCTGGAAAAGATGTAACAGATATAACCAATAAATATTTTGTTATGTTAAATAGTGCAACAAGTGAAAAAAAGAAAATTATTGAAATGTAAGTTTCATACAAAATTATTTAAACCATGTAATGACTGCAAGGTTGATAGTGTTAACCTATTGACCTATTTCTATAGGTCTTGTAAACATTGTCAATATCATTTACCATGCATATCCCATGGGTGAATGAGTCATTAATAAACAACAGCACTATGTTTGTATCATTAAGAATTATTAGTTACGCTAAGAAAAGGCCCATCTACTATCCCATTCATTTACAAATAAGTGTAAAATCAAAATAAAGATTTTGCTTGAATTTTTGCTTTTATTTGTTGAACATAATTAAATGCAAATATTATATGTGTTTACAACTAAAGATAGCCTGAAGAAAATGCACACTATTAGTTATTGTAATAGTGTGCATTTTCTTACAAAATATTGTATGAAAATATTAAATTGTAATATCAAAATATTACTTCCTTATGTTTTCAGGGAAGAGCGGGACTGGAGGAAATGGGCAGATTCTGTATTGGTTCACACATTGTCACCTAATGTCTACCGAACAACCGAAGAAGCTATTGAGACATTTAAATGGTTTGAAGTTGTTGGTGGTTGGAGGGAATCTTTCCCAGCTTGGGAAGTTGCACTTATGGTTTATGGTGGTGCAGCTGCAATGTGGATAATTTCAAAGAGGCTTAAAAAGAGGTAAGTGTGATTTATCTTTAAATATGTGTTAATTTCATTTTAGATATGTATGTTAAAATATAATAAGTAATAAAAATACTAACTGTTACGTATGTTGTATTTAAGAATAGTTACTGAAACAATATTTCATTATAACATAGCACATTGGCAAAGTACCAGGTAGAAACATTTGTTGATGTTAGGTTTGAATATACAGAAACATTAATTACCTACTTGGTTAATTAAAAGTATTAAGACACATGTCTTAATACTTTTAATTAACCAATTTTCCATCTGTTACATATAACAGATGGAAAAAGCCAAAATTTATACAGGGCCAATAGTGCCGTGAAATTATTGTAAGACTAAGATAAATGTCAGAGTAATCAATAAGGCATTGTTTGTTAATTCATAAAATAAAAGAAAGTAATTGTATTTGAATCAAAATAACATAAAATGCACATTAATAATTAAGGAATGGAACTATTCAATAGCTGTTTGAGGCTTGTTGCTTGATGTAATTATTGTTATATATAGGGAAATACAAAGGCTAAAATTTAATCTTTATAACTTGCACTATACACTTCTGTAATTAATATAATAATTAGATATTTTAATAATAAATATATTTTGGATATAAATAAAGCCTGTGTAACTCAAGGATGTACCATACCAATGATACAATTTTGATATCAACCTAGTAATTAGTAGTTTATTTATTACAAATCTTTCCTCCTCATAATATTAGTATAGATGAGATGAAGGTCTACTTAAGTCAATTCTAAAAAGAGAAAACTAATATTATTGTTTCAGACATAACATTAAAGATGACGAGCGTCAGTCATTATATGATGCAGCCAATGATTGGATGTCGGCCATTCAAAAGAAAGGCACTATTTATCTTGGTGGTAATACACCTAATTTGGCAGATATAAGCGTATTTGGTGTACTGTGTAGTATTGAGGGATGTCGAGCTTTTGAAGACTTGAGGCAAAACACAGCAATTGGTAATTGGTTTGATAATATGAAAAAACACTTAGAGACCACTAAAGGGAGGGTTATACCCCTTTAATTAAGTATTTTTGACAAATATGTACAAAATAATTTAGGGCATAACATTCTACAGCCATTCATAGAGTCCTCACATATATTTTACCATCTTCAATACAGCTAGTGTGGTAATCAATTTGATTTGTCCTGGATAAAATATACTATTTTGTAAAGCTTGAACTAAATTTAATTATTATTAATTTAGCTATTCTGTAACAATTAATTAAATATTTGCGATAAGGGAGACGCTATCCAGGCCTCAGGGATCATATATAAATTATCTCAGATTATTATTATCATGAAAAAAAACTTATTTTTACTCTAAAACTGATCTTTTCTCGTGTATGGCTATTTTAGTATTATATTTATAATTAATATATAATTTCGCGAGCCTTGTATAACGAAGCGCGCAAGTAGTGTATATTTCATAAAATCCTACCATAAGCATATTAAGTTCAGTTGAGTTCAGAAAAAAATATTGTTAAAATATGCCACAATTTGTATTTTCCAAAGAAATTGTTAAGTTTTATTAATAAGTTGTATTGTAGTTTACATGCCTTGATTATAACATATTTACATTAGATGTAGTTAAAAGAATAAATGTAAATTTGTAACCATTGTTTTAATTATACACTAAGTTGATGTCAGCGACTGCGTTCTCGAGGACTCGTGACGAACCAGTTTTTTTAAAGGAATCTCTCGAGATATATTACGTAAAAGCCGAAGTTTCGTACCGAAACGGAACAAAGACGATCTCCGTATTAAAGCCTATTACCAAAGCACTTATGATCCGAATAGTAAGCATGTATTTCGTTCGGAATAGATGAATAGAAATTTCAGTGATGATTTGAATGACACCCTATTATTTCCGATAAAAATGTGCGAAAACCGATAACAAAATTAAAAAGCTTTTCATTATAAAAAAAAGGGTAAGGTAAGGTGCGTGAAGCCAAAAGTTGTAAAAAGTTCGGCTCGAGAAATGATATTGAAGGTGAAAGAGTTCTGTGAAGCGGAAAAAAAGAATCAAGGTGTTTTAATACCACTAAACAATGTACGGAAGAGAGTAGCCGCCATAACAGGTACTTTTTAGAGTTCAGAGTTGCCACATTATAATTTTTTGCTGTATTGATGGGACTTTTATGATATAAATTCATTTTTGCGACAAAATTGAACAAATACATAACGAATGAAACTAGGTAACTGAAATTAAATCATATATTACATAGTACATAAGCATTATAAACTTAAAGTTACTATTATTTTTAATTGTTCATTATTTAATTGCAGGTGTGTCAGAGAGAACTGTAACAAGAATTACAAAAGAAGGTATAACAGCGGCGAGTACTTCGAAAAAAATTGTCACCCCGGGGAAGAGTCACCCGCATCCGATAGTATAGCATCAATATAAAAAAGAACAATTATATCTACGGCTAGTGATACTGAAACAGAATCTGATTCTATTTCCATCCACTCTTCAGACAGTGATGTTACTATGGCCGCTGATCACAATTATTCAATAAAACTGAATAAAAAATTGTAATGCTTTTCTTTACCCTATTTTCTCATCTTTTCCTTGTAAGTAGGTAGAACACCGCTTATATTAGTAAATAAAAATATACTTTTTACATAACAGAAACATTGTTTCATCGAAGTATGCAGAAAATAGTATTATTTGATAAATAACATAAGCTAAATGTAAAATAGGTAATTTTTTTACTCTTAAATGGCAACATTACGAGACGCGACTACAGCGCGTCTGGGGGAATTCTTTCATGAAAAGGACTATAGTTTGTATTTAGTACCTTAATTTCGTCTGTGGTTAAAAATAGTGCTTTTTGTAGACAAATTTATATTTTGTGACAACTGTCAAAAATCACATTGGTCTTTCAATGTCTACTTTTTTTTTTTTTTGGAGTTTATGGCAAGGGGGTCTAGCCAAGATGGCTTAACATTAGTGTATGTAGAAAGTGGAAAACTAAATTTGTATGAAAATGACAGCTCGTGTCGACAGTCGGTAGCCTAGGCCCTAAAGGCGTGAGTCGGGATACAATTAGCGACGCCATGACAATGCTACGAAAAGACACACATTAACGCGTAGGCTATTCGGTAGCCAACGACCAATTAATGTTTCGGCAGTGTAGAAAAAACGGCGTTTTTCCGCCATGTTTTAGCGTGATCTCAAAAGCTGCTGTTTGCAATAATTACAGTACAACTATCGCCAACTTTAATGGCTACTGTTTTAAAAACATGTCATATTTTTGATATTTTGGACGTTTTAGCGAAAAGGTTTTGATTTAGTTATCGGGCTTTTTTAATCGTTCTCGTATAATTATAATAATTTAAAATAGAGTTAATATTTTTAAGTTAAGAGTTTTAGTTTTTCAATTAATCAGTGCGAGGATAACATAATAGACATAAATATGAATATATCAAGAAAATCAGCAAATTAGTAGAGGTAAATACTAGTTATATTGGATATCTTTTATTGCTATTTATATTGCATGTAAGTTTATGAAATTGTTCTTTAATTTGAAAAATACATTATGTAACTTAAGTTACGTCTTGTTTGTTGTAAACTTTATACCATTTAATATTGCTTATAATCACAAAGTAAAATGATACTACAATTTTATTTGTACATTTCAGGTGAGAAAGCAGTCACTAATGAACATAATTAGAAGTTCCAAATATATTTTATTGTAATTATATTAGAAGCTAATGATATAATTTTAATTTAAATTTATCAAATAAAGTGGATTTATACTTCATAAACTTTGTAAAATATATAAAATCTAGTAAACAATACTAAGTAATGGTAAGCAGATATTTTCTTTAATTATTTATTACTAAGTTAATATACTAGAGAAGTTTATCATAATATTGTTAATGAATGAGAAGTTTGAATTCAAGTCCCTTGGGAATTACTGACATTGTTTGGTTATTAAACATTTTAATTGACAATAAGCAGCAAAGTGACAAATTACGTATATATTTTTAAGTTTAGAATAAAGTAAAGAGTTTTAATATTAAAGTTACCTATTGAATAAACCTTGAAGCGATCTTACAGTTTAATTTGTCAGTTTTCTATTTGATCAAAGTACTAATTAAAATATTTTCTTTTCTGAAAAAGAAAAGCTAATGAGACAACTAAAAGTATTAACAGAAACCACAAAATAGATGTTTTATTTAAGTCTTAGCTTTTAATTAATTTAAGTGTTATATTAAGTACCTGAAAATTCATTTGATAATGGGGGATGAAGCATTTTATGAATAATGTAAAAGGTAAGAGGAGTGGAGTGGAACATTACCTTAGGAACAGGAAACAGTAACTGAAACTATGTTCTTCCACATTTAATCGTAATAAATTCAGCAGTTTGAATGTTAATGAGATATTTATTATAAACAAACTACATTTGAAGATTTTGGGAAGAATTATATCTTTAATAACTATTATTAATTAGAATCGTTGTATTGAGGAAACAATCACTATTTTTTTAACTGCCCAGGATGTATTCGTAGTAATTGTAGGTATCATAGTAATTTTATGAAATCATCACATTTAACGTTAGGTTTTATGAATTGAACAATTTTTTGTATATAACAGCACACAAATAAGATATTGATATTGCTGCAAATTTACACTTACATTTATTAGTTATTTATCAATATATATAAATATGAATACATCTACATTAGGTAATAATGCATTTAATTTGGTCCACTTGTTTGTGTTGTAGTAATGGCTGTATTGTTTAAATAAGTTGTATGCTTGTTGTTCTATTTATACTATGCAACATGTTAAGGAAGAGGTACTTTATTTTAATAAAAAATAACGATGACTGAAACATTTTTATTTTACTACCTATTTGTTTAATATTCCTAATTATTAGTAGGTACAGGTTATTCTTATATGCTTTACCTGTAGCAATATTCTGGTAAAATAAACGAATATTGTAAACCACTTTAATGGCTTTTCCTACTAAAGAAGACAGGTCATCTACCAAAAATAAAACTGTTAAATACATAACATACTAATTTTATTCAATTCTAACTTAAACATATTTTGCATATTAACTAGTAGCAAATCACCGATATAAACAAAAGTTAATTGACATAAATATTAGCTTAAAATCAGCATCAAACTTAAATTTCTATTTGAGATATTGGAGCATCAATAGTTGATTAAGGGTTATAATTTCATACCAGACTAGGTTTCTATTTTATTAATCCCTTTTATTAGTTCATTGAGTACTTGCTGTTTTTCATTCTCACTTTTTAAAAGTATTAATATATTATAAATAATCAACTTTTATGACTCTAACTTAAACTGAAATTGTTTGTTGGAGATATAAACAGGGATAAATCTGCTTTCAAATTGACATTAAAAAATGTTCAAGCACAAACACCAAAAATAATTAAAGCTTAAATCAAAGTCTCATTTCAGTGTTCACACTAGTCTGCGTTTTTTTTAATTCCTTGGACTATATCAACAGCTAATTAATCTTCTTTTCACTCTTTATTTATCAATCCGCAGTACTATTTCTATTGTTTCTTCAAAGCGGTAGCAAAATATGTTGCTTCTTCATTTTGCAGATTAGTTGTGAGGTCAAATCCTAAAAATATCAAAGTATGAGTAGGGACTATTATATATCGCGATTATGCAATTTCAAAATATACTATTTATTTGTAGCCTTAATTTTCTGAGAGAACATGAAACAAACCATAATTAATTTAAACATGCAATTAAAATTCATATATTCACTTTGCACCTTCCGTAAATTCCACTAAAATCGAGAATTGTTCCGACCTTGCTGACATTCTAATGTCCCTTTTGCAGCTTCCAATTGCAAATTTACAATAATATTGTAAAGTTTTAACTTTTATTTGTTTATAAAAGTGACATTAGGAATACATTTAATCCAGAGACAATATGACGGAATAAGGTGCTACGAACAGCAGCTCGCATATACGCTGTCGACTTTGCGGTAATGTATCGACATGCCTCTTGGCTACGAACGAAGC